AGTTCGTCCCCGTAGAAGGCGTCGAGGAACGCGTCAGAAATGGCAGCGCGCCCGCAATAGAGAAAGCGCGGGACGGATCACCGAGAGTTGAGATCGGGTGCATGTCCGGAGATTGTCGACTGAGTCGATCCTCCTCATCGATACTCCAGTCCGGCAAGCGTGGGGTTTTCATGCCGGGGATGTCCTCGCCAGCAGACATGGCGCCGCCCAGATTTCTTCGGATCACTCTGAGCTCATCGACTATCTGCGCAAACAGTGGCCGAACAGCCGCGTCCCAATCCCAGCAGGCACCCAAAAGCTTCATGAATTCGGCCGTGGTGTTTCGAGACAGGGGAACTTGGGGACGAGTATTCTCTTCTGCTTTCGATTCGTTGAGATGCACTGGATGGAGATGATGTACGCACTGATCACAAAATATCGGACATCTTCGTCATCCGACAGAGGCCAAGGCATCTTGCCCAGCGTCAAGATCTCGACACAACACATTGCGAAAGCGTAGATGTCCATCGCAGGTGTGAGCTGACAATGGCCCAGCATCAGCTCTGGCGCTTGCCACCTCAAGGTCCCATCTCCCGGAACATATCAGCAAATGCAGTGGGTGAGAAAGATCCAGGAAACTCACGAGGTGTCCCTGTCCCACTGATTCGAAACACCTCCGACTTGAGTTCACTTTGACCAAAGTCTGAGACCAAACAGTGCAAGTTGTCGTTGACGAGAATGTTTGCACACTGTACAAACGGTGATCAGTATATGAAGAGACGGAAACTGACGCCAACAAGAACCTTGAGATCGCCATGCAAGACACCCTGACCATGCAGATAATCCATTCCCTTAGCGATTTCATGGATGAACCTGAGAAGATCGGGCTCCTCCTTGACAGGATAGCCAGCAGGAGCACTGATATGGCGAGGACGCGTGCTGGCGGAGCCAAGGCCACTCAGATGGCCGCTTGGTACACTAGAGAATCGTTCACGAGAGTCCTCCAGGCTGCCATAAGTTTGTCGGAGGTAAGCATTCAAACACCCGTTCTTCTCGTATGGGCAGACAAAGAACCAAGGTCCGTCCCCAGTAGCAGCACTAGCCCCGTAGAGCTCAAGAACGTGCGGGTGCTTGAGTTCTTTCCATATCCCGATCTCCTTGAGAAACAGCTTCTGAGGAGTGCATTCTGCCAGAACTTTGATCGCCACGACTCGACCCCGCCAGAGACCGCGATGGACATCAGAAAAGAAACCCATCCCTATTCTTTCGTCCAGATCAACCTCATATCTGGAATCGCGAGTGAATCATCAGTGCTCGCCGCAATCAAGTTTCGCACCTAGTGATTGTCCAACTCGGTAAACCCAGTTCGCCCGGCTTGCTCAACCGCCGCAATGCATCTATCCCACTCTCCAAGAACTCACGGTCTAGCATGTCATGATTATCCGCAGTCAGTCCACCGCAGACGCTACTGCCAGAGCTGGAAGCAGAGATGGTTCGCTCCACCGGCTCAGGGCCGACTGAAACTTGGGCCTGCTCCGAGCAGGACTCTGCTATCAAAGGCGACGGAATGCACGAGCTCGTCAAACTGTTGACGATCCCGATACGCTCCAATGCGCGTTGGAGTGTTTTCAAAGCTTCTGGCATATCATCTCGCCGGACCTAGCTCAGTGTTCAGCTTCTGCACAGTCGCACACGCATACACGCACTTGTAACACCCGTAGCATCTCCGCATCGCTGCTTTGACTGACAGCATTTCGCATAAGATCCCTCAGATCAGTCATGTCATGAACCCGATCCAGTGTGTTCTGCCTGTCGTGGAGATTGTGCAGTGTCGGTAGAATGACCGGTTCTTGTCCACCCGCAGCCGAAAGCGACTTGTGGGACGAACTGGGCGGCAGGCCGTTGGTCCCGCTAGGGATTGATATACCCAATCCCTGGATGGTGACGGATGTAGAGCCAGCTGCACATGCAATCTGCTGCGAGTTAACGACGGAATCGAGGATTGCAAGAGTGTCGTTGTGTCGGTTGAACTCGACAGCTTGCACCTGCTTGAGTATTCGGATTTGGATTGAAAGCTAAGTGGCAACATGAGCAGTGAATTTGATCAAAAGGTGGTGAAACCGACCCCGAACAGACTTAGCGCCTCTCCAAGTGCCTTGTCGCATCCTACAATCTCGCGCAGGATTTCCGCCCGCCTTAGATATCGCTTGAGAAATGGGCGCTGAGCTTGCTTGCTCATGAACAGGTGGACGCGCTCAAAGGTACTGCGATGTGTTCGGCTTATGAAAGTTCAGCAAAATGTCAATTCGTACCTGTTCAGCTTCTCAATTGGCGCAGTGAGCTCATGCCCAACCTCATCTCCTGCGTCCCTGATCTCTTCCCTCACAGACATGAGGATATCGGCACAGCGTTCCGCGAGGCGAAGGCACGCCATCCTGTTCAGCTGAGAGCAGCACATGAGTAGCTGAGTCCTTCAGCACAACAGGTTGCACACTCACATCAACACCTTGCACATCATCCCAGATTGAAAGAAGGCATTTGGCTGCCATCTGAAGCCCGGGCACTGGAATAGGAATGACCTCCATGAGTTCTGATGCACGGAGCAAGATTTCGTGGCTGAGGAGCACAGATGTACCGAGTACGTTGGTCACTGCCAGTGAAACACGCTAAACGACGCGTCGGCTTGTATCTCATAATCAAAACCAGAATCTGCGCACCTTTTGAGTCCGAGCCCAACTATCAGTTTGTTCGGCAGGGACCGTCCCTTGCCGCTTGGGCGAGTCGCGCCAGGGCCGCGGGAGTATCTCCTCGCGAAAGTTGCGACCCCACCAAGATGTCGGAGTGGGTGAAGTGGGGTGTCCGGCCGGACGCGAGACAGACTCTTCGAGATTCGCTTTGGGACTCGCCATTCCCGCTGAAGCAAAGGACGCCCGAGTTTGGCAATGCGACCGCGCGCGAGCGAGGAAGGAGGAGGTTGGCGCATCGTGGAATGGAAACGAGCACTCGTCGATGTAGCTTGGTGGAGGAGTCACCGGCGTGGACGCTGTCCTTGAGTGGGACAGCCTCCCGGGCAGTCGAGTGGTGCCTTGGCCTTGTGAAGAGGATAGCGGGGACAGTGGCGAGAGGAGGCTCGATGTCGAGCGACCGCGCGGGCGGTGGCCAAGGGAGGACTGCGAATACCCTTTCAAAGTCGCGTTCGAGTCGGAGGATAGCATAGGAGCGGGAACAGGGCTTTTGTGAATGGGGACCTGGGAGGAGGACGGCATATTGAATGAAATCTACGCGCGTTTCGTTCGACGAGACACGCGAATGCAAGGGAAATGTACGCGCAAAATGGCGTATAAAAGGCAGCACTGAAAGAATGGCGGGAGAAGAGGCTTTGCGAGTGAATGTGAAGTGCAGGAAGCAAGGACTCCGGTGCTCGATCATTATGAGTGCGGTGACGGGTCCGCGGAGTTTCGACCAAGATGCACTGGAGTTGTTCCATAAGTAGCCGTAACTGCAGTGTCATGAGGAAACTGAGATTTTGCATGATATCTTCCAAAAAATGGGTATGTTAGTCGGTTGCATGTACCAGTGTGTGCAGTATCCATGAAATGACTAGTACGCGGAGAAGAGGGGCACCCAGAGAAAAGCAGTATCGGCGATGGTCCGCGGACTCCGGAGCGGTTCTGGAATCTCCACAGCTATATCGAAATAAAGAAGGATCTCCGCACATGTTGAGCCCGTATCAAAGGAGTACTTGGGTGCATTTCGAGACAGAACATTAACAAACCGTGACGTCGATCGGATTGTCGAATCGAGCAGACTCAGTGGGACACTGTAAGGCATCCAAAGGGCAAAAGCAACTGATCTGTGTGCAAGCAGCCTGGATATCCTCCCCGATGAGGCAGAGTCCGACACAGCCGTATGTTTGTCAAGAACCCTGGGAGGCATTTCAAGAATGATGATGGTGGCAGTGCAGGGAGAAAAATCTTCTTGTACGCTTCCAGCTAGTTGCAAATTGCGAGGCCACCGTCCTGCATTCTCGACATGATGGGAAGTGGCGCTGTGGTGACATGCCGCTGTTGCCGGGAGGGTGGGGCTGTGGGCAAGCGGGGCCCGCTGTGCAATTGCTTGATGTTCCATGCAGTGCAAGTTCATTTTCTCTCGTCTACTACAATGAATACTATTCTTCCAACAATTTTGAACTGCCCAAGTTGTCTTACCATCATGTATAGTACCTCTTGGGTATGCCTGATGAGAATCCGGCGCCTACCTCACAAGAATAGCTGGCAAAAAATTGAGTCACAGCTACCCGGCAACGGCGGCATGTCACGACAGCTCCACCTCCCATCACGTCGAGAATGAGGGACGGTGGCCTCGCAATTTGCAACTAGCTGTCAATGCTCACATGGTGGGTTCTCTGCCGGGTCTAGAAACCTGTTTGCGTCTCATCACTCTAGTAAAGATCAAAGCGTAAAGATATAGCTGTCAAGTTCCATACTGCAGTCATCGGCCGCGTGGCAAAATGGTTACTGCGTTGCTTTCCGGTGAGCTGCTAGGCAAAGATTCCAGGTTCGATCCCTGGCGTGGTCGAATAAATTTTGCTCTGTGCTTGTGTCTTCTCCCTTGGCTTGATGACCTTTCAGTTCCCAAGTGAATTCTCGCCACTTTTTCTGTCCCCTGATCAAAGGGGATCAAAGTTGGGATATGTGATGCCATCAATCTATAGCCTCATCCACTTTACCTCATCGTCCATTCAACTCCGCACTTGCCCTCTAGGCCTGTTGCTCCATTGTCGATGGTGTGAACTGCCTGCTCTTCTCTGCCACAACTATGCCTTCCGTCGCTTTCTTGAGTGTGTCCCGTATCCAGATCCCAGTTATGCAAATTGATATGCAACTGCACTTCCCAGGCTCCGAAGTTGTCTCTACCCGTACTCTCTATGACCGTGCTCAACAGTCGGAGCCGCCTGGGTGGGTATCTCTCTGTGCCCCTTCTGTATCAGCTACCCAACTCCTCTGCTTCTGCTTTAGCCCCAAACCCAAGACCCCCATGATCGCAGGGGCCACCATCGGCAGCGTTATGGGCGTGGCCTACTTAATTGGATTCACTATCTACTTCTACAAACGCTGGAAACGCAAGAAACTCAACCGACAGATCGAAGCGGGCCAAGCCACGCCGAAAGTCCGCCCCGAGCCCAAGGAGAAGGTCGTGATTCCTCCTGACCCCGCTGTGCTCCTTGGCCAACACGAAGGCGGAGAGTACGTTCATGTGGATGAAAAGCGACGTTTTTCCCATCACAAGCAGAAATCTGTCGGCGGCGCGGTGAACGGGGCTACAGGGTCGACGTCGCACCTTGTGGGGTCGGATATGGCAGAGAAGAGTCGAATGTCGGAGGAGGAGGGGCCGTCGACCGGTGTGCTATGATTACTTGGACGAGTGAGCCTATCTAGTCTTGTAACCACGGAGTTCTCACGCCCATCCTAGTATATTGCGTACATTCCTACTTATTTCCAGTTCATATCTTACACTCTCGGTCGATGAATCAATCAGTCGCAGTAAGCACCCATGCTGGCCGGCTGCGGAGTACATCAGACAAGGTTACAAGCGCAGTATCCGCCATGCGACTCACGGCTACGTCCCTCGCATACCGCAGAAGGATGCCTCTCTTCACGTTCAACTTCGAATTGGCAGACGCCTCCCAGAGCGCCTTTCTCCGTGCCTCTTCCTCCTGCGACACAAGCCATTGAATTGTCTTGCTGTCTGCGTCGATGATGATCTTGTCTCCGTCCTCGACCAGGGCTATGGGACCGCCTAGCCGGGCTTCGGGGACCACATGTCCGATGATGAAGCCCCGCGACGCTCCACTGAACCGGCCGTCGGTGATGAGGGCCGTTGAATTGGCAAGTCCAGCACCAGCGATTGCTCCGGTCGGACCTGTGCAGAGTCTTCAACGCAGTTCTGTCAGCTTAGCACTCTGTTCTCACCTAGCATCTCAGGCATGCCTGGTGCGCCTTTGGGACCTTGATAACGGAAGATGAGGATCATGCCTGCCTTGATTTCTCCGGCCTCGAGTGCGGGGAAGAATCTCTCCAGGCTGAAATCTCGATTACGCTGGGTTCCTGGATGTGTCTGCGTCGCTTACCTGTCGAAGCACTTGGCCACTCCCTGCGCATTTCATTCAATTGATGTCATGATAAACAGGCGTCCACCTACCTCGAAACGGGAGCCCTCCTTCCCAGTCAACTTTGCGACCGCCGAGCCGGGACACAAGTTCCCATAGAGAATCGTCAAATGTCCGGTCGGCTTGATTGGGTTGTCGAGCTTGCGGACGACATCCTGGTCGAAATTGAGCTCTTGAACATGTTCCAGATTCTGGGCGAGCGTTTTTCCGGTGACTGTGAGCTGGGAGCCGTCGATGAGGTCGGTGTGGTTGAGAAGATATTTGAGGATGGCCGGGATTCCGCCCACTCGATGAATGTCTTCCATGTAATATTTTCCAGATGGCCTGACATTTGTCAGTGCTCGCCATGAGTGCTGAACAAATGGGATTACTTCAGGTCCGCCAGGTACGGTGTTTTGTCCGTGATGGCTTGGAAGTCGTCGATGGTCAGCTTCGCATGACTTGTGAGCGAGGATATCACTTCTTCAAGGGCCGTTCAGCTTACCTCGATATCAGCCGCCCGTGCCATGGCGAGGAGGTGGAGGACTGCGTTGGTAGAGCCTCCGAGAACGGTGATGACGACCATCGCATTCAAGAATGACTGGCGGGTGAGTATGTCCCTCGGCTTGATGTCCTTCTCGAGCAGATTTTTCAGGTATCTCGCCGCTTTCATGCATTCCTGGACTTTCTCTGCTTCCCATTCAGCTACGATTCACTTCCATAGCAGTGGAAGTACAAACCGGGGAACGTCGCCGGAGTGCTCGACGAGTAGGGCAGCGACATGCCGAGGGCCTCGAGTGCGGAGCTCATCGTGTTGGCGGTGTACATTCCACCGCAAGCACCAGCACCAGGACATGCGTGACGAACGACGTCAAATCGCTGCTCGTCTGTGATGTTTCCGACAGTGTATGCCCCAAAAGATTCGAACGCGTCGGAGATGTTCACGGAATCTACGCCTCCGATCAATCACTCGCTGGTTAGCACACTGAATTGTGCGAACCGCCTTTCTTATAACCCATCGCAGGACAGTCTGTCTTTCAGTTTCAGAAATAGTGACGGAAGGGCTCGTGATATAAATACCCACCGGCATGGCGAGTCCCGGTCTGGATTGTCCCTCCGTAAACGATGATTGTCGGTCGATTGTGGCGCGCTGCTGCCATGAAGCACCCCGGCATGTTCTTATCGCATCCCGGAATCGAAATGTTCGCGTCGTAGTGTTGCGCCATCACAACAGATTCGATCGAGTCCGCTATGATATCCCGACTGGGAAGGCTATAGAAGGTTGAGTCGAATCCAGTGCTTATCCGATATGAGGACGGATAGCTACGAGTATCTCATTCCTGGGTGCAGTGAGATTGTGCTCGTGTGTTCTGACATGCCACAAACCGTCAGTTCCCATTGTGATAGCGTCGCTCACACCGATGGTGTTGAAGATCAGTCCGACCATGTCTTCATCGCTGCATCCCGATTTGACGTGTTTCGCGAGATCCATCTAGGACGAGAGTGAGAGATACGTGAAAAATCTCATTCGGGTTCCCCCTACCAGATGCGAATTGCAGGGATTGCCTGGTCGTAGCCATCAGGTCGTATGTCTATGCACTCAGATCCTATACGAACCTTCCCACCAAATGGGAGAGATACCGATCTGCGGACATAAACAATCATTCGAAAGCGGTACATCGAATATACCTGGGGCTTCTCCATGTCTGCCTCGCTCAGTCCTACCGCGTACACTGGCCAGGTCGATCAACAACAGACCGAGCATAGGAAGGGTACCTGCAAAAACTCACGCATCGCTTGAGCTCCACCCCGCGCCTGGAAAGGTTCAACATCCGGGAAACAAGAGCGCTCAAAAATGACGCACTTTCACTTGCGTGAGCTGCGACGAAATCTTATTCAATTTGGCATTGGAAGCAGGTACAGCGGGGGCTGTCGGCAACGCGTGGCTGCGCGCACGGAATCAGTTTGAAGCACCCTTGGAGCTCTCCACGTACATCTGAACGCCCTCTGAAGACATTGTGGGGATGACAAGTGAGTGAAAGCGCCAGTAGTGACAGTACGAGATATCCGCGGACGGAATCCATTTTAGAATCTGGGGTGTGGGGTAGCACGGACCGGTGATGACCGGTGCGGTACACGCCGGTCCCGCTCCCATGTTCTCGAAGGCCAAACCTGTCCTCCATGGACCATCGTGGCTTCGGGTTCGCACCTTTGCTATCACCTGTCCACATCACATGGTCTCCGTCTGTGATACGCGTGAAGGCGTTCGAGTGACCATCGAGTCTCGACTCACTCTCGAGTCTCAGCTAGACTTATACACAGTGGACGCACCGCCTCGGGAAGAGATTGCCCGAACCCATTAGCACCCGGGCTTCTGAGTTCAGAAACCAGTTTACGAGCAAGGCGACGGTCCGATCTCGTCTGCTCGCATATACTGTGCACGTCCACACGATGCGCGCCTGCGAACCCGTTTCGTCTTTTGACAGCCACGACTTCCGCGCTGCGGCCCTCCGTGCAATTGGTTCTACTTCTTTCCAGTGTAAGAGACATACTGGACATGTGAGCGACTCCGTCTGCGACCTGGAATACGGTCCGAACGAGGCACTGATGGGCCGAGCTGCCTACGCTGGCGACACTCCTGAAACTCTTCGGTCCAAGCGTTTCCCCCTCCTCAAGATAAACCGCAATCCATAGCTCGCACAGACACTCCCAGCACGAGAGCTGTACGAGTTGGTGAATAGTCCGTTTTTGCCGAATGGGAGATCCTTCCAAACTCTGTGACGCCGATATCAAGGAGGATCGGACAGAGATCCTAGATCGCCTGCCTGAGGGATCCCGAGTTCGCTGCGCTCAAAGAAATGCCGTGCGTGAATAGCCGAAGGAGAACGCTCAATAGTTTACCGAAACTGCTGCATCCGTCGTTGTATCGAACTTTATTGACTTTCCAAAAGTGGAAATGAAATTGGATCAAGCCATCAGACACTTTCCATTGCTGAGACGCAACCATAGCGCGGATCGCTCCAGGATTTTGGGAAAACCTAGTGTACCATACCCTCATGCTCTGAATCAAATTATGTATAATTTTGTCGAGCCGTTCTCTCTCAGTGGTCTAAACAAGCAAAAATATCACGTTGATTCAATTTCAATACTGAGTCAGTGTACCAACATGGCGAATAAGGGGTGGGCCGGCCAGCTTCTGCGGGACTGCCTCGCGCCATTCCACAACAGTATCTTGCACTCCATTCTTCACCAGGAGCGCAAGAATCTCTTGTGAGACATCATGGGCGGCAGCAGAGGAGGTAGACCCAGGAGCGACACCAACCCAGATGACAACAGGACCGAGACTGCCCTTGGCCCCGTCTTCAAGCGGTCCATGAGTGAAAAAGCGGGCAAGGTCGATGGACGTCCAGCGGATCTTGTGGGCCTTGATCAGATCACGGATTTGGGGACCAACGGTACGCCAGACACCATTCAGCGAGGTGCCAAAGACTCCCCGGAGTGACTTGACGGGAAGATGTGCGTGTCTGCCGACGGGCCTGGGAAAGGGTGTGGTGAGGTAGTCCGAACGGTAGATGAGATATGGATGATCGTCATCCCCAGTGATGCCGTTATAATAGCTTGTCCTCTCGTACTCGTCAGGAGTTTGATCGGAGACAGCGGTGGTATCACTGGCGAGGGGGAGGGTGGAGAGATGGGAAGACATGTACAGGTCGCTTGAATTGTCAGGAATGCCGGGCTCAAGTTATTTAAGGTTGGCCTATGAACGACAGGGGCGGTTCAATTCTTGCGTCTCCTGTCACATTCGCGCGGCAATGTTGGGTGAATAGGAGTCAGTGAACGGATGGATGGATTCACCGCGCAGGTCCCGATGCGGAACAATGATATGCATGAAAGCATTCGAGTGACCGTCGACTCATGTCTGACTCACTTGATATATTGGTCTATGTAGATAGTTACATGCCTGATCACACCGCTAAAAGTCGAAACCTTCGGCACGGAAGACCTGCATGTCGCCACGCGCTGGGCCAGGCTGGGTGAGATTAGCCAAATCTGTCCGATCCATAGCCAGGAATGCACGGCGGAGGGTGAACCAGAGCTGCTCGCTGGTGTCGCCACCCCCGTTCATATGCTGCATATTCAGGGCGCTCATAAAGTGCTCGGCCGCTTCCTTGTGGGCTCCGATGTTCAGGCCTGTGAGCACAAAATCAGAATCGTTGCCGGCCCGTATCAAACCATTCGCGCGAGAACTCACAAGCGACCCCGACGTTGTAAATCGCACGGGTGTATGTTGGGCGGAGCTCGAGAGCTTCGCGATACGCGCCCAGCGCTTCTTCTGGGTGGTTGCCGTTCGACAGACAAGAGCCGAATCGATTCCACAGCACAAAGTCCTTGGGTCGTGCCGATAATGCGCTTTCGAAGCAGTCCTTGGCCCGGTCATATTCGCTGTTCGTGTAGAACAATATCCCCAGCGCGATCTGCACATCCGGGTCCATCTCCCCACGGCTGTGCTGGTCACGCGCTAGCGACAAAAACACCTCGGTCAGCCGCGCGTGAGTGTCCCACGACGCGTTGCTGGATATCGCAGTCAACGTTTCTGGGGGCACAGGGTGACTGGGGAACCGAGCGAGAATCCAGCGGAGAAGCATCGTGTGCGAGGCCCGATCCATCGACTCGTTTGTATACGAGATCGCAAGCGACTAGAGATGTATTGAGAAGACACGAAGACCACCAGCATGGAACGCACAAGCATCCCCAACCCAGGCGTTCCCGCTTCTTGCGCGAGCTTCACGCCTTGACTGAGTGCCCGCATCCCGGCTTCTTCTCGTTCATCCATGTTTCTCGTTTCTCCCAGAAGAATCCAGGCTTCATAACCACCCTCACCCGTTTCCCCCTTCTGAATCGCAGCCTCGAGCAACAACGCTGCCTCGGTAAGCGAGCCATTCTGCTCAAGCAGAGCTTTGGCTTCGCTTAAATGGGATTTTACGGGCGCGTCCGCCGCGAGGTATTTATTTTCTTCCTCTGTACGATCGACTTATGAGCACAACATCCAGGGTAGACCAGATTCAACACACTGACCGAACACGTATGCCGGAAGGAGAGGGATCCCGGACTGATCGAATTTGGTCGGACTGTATTCGGTGTGATCTTCAGAAAAATCTCCCAAGCCGCTTTCCCAAGCGTTCTTCATGGCAGCCCCGTAATCAGCATCTAGATCGTCCCGCTCAGAAGTCATCAGCTGGTTGAATTGGGCCTCCCATTTAGCCATGTCCTCAGCAGGTGGAGGGAGGTCCGAGTTCTGCAACTGATCCCATACCCTGTTCGATATGAATTGAGGGTCAACGCCGTGCATCGAGTCACGCACCGCTTGAAGTCTGTGGTCTCTTCCCCAGTCTCCAGTCTCGCTTTGTCCATGGCTTCCTCCAGCCCAGTCTCACCTTCAGGTATCTCCTCTATGCGGCTAGATTGCTGTTTCTCCTCCGCATGAGCGGCCAGCACCTGAGCAAACGCAGCCTCAAAGTCGGCTTCCCGACTCTTGCCCTTGTTGTCGAGCTGGACCGGCATCGAATGCATCATGCCAGAACCATTGTACATTCCCATGTCCATTCCCATCGGAGACCTGTATTGCGAGAAGGAGGACATATAGGAAGTCTGCTGGGGCTGGACTGGTGCGTGTGATTAAATGCGGTCAACCAAGGCATCCTCCACGTACAGTCTGGACGTGATAAATTGTGCTGCTGGACGAGTGAGCCCCCTGGGGTCGTCTGTACGCCAGTGCCGAACTCCGAGGCCCACCCGGACGACTCGAACGCGCGCATCTGCTGCTGTTGCTCCATGACCCACCGCTCGTTGGCCGGGGTCATATGTTGCGGGTTTTGTTGCTGCAGATGGGCTGCCAGCTCCATAGGATTGGGCGCTCCGAAGGCCGTGCCTCCGAGGGGCGCGGACTCGAAGAATTGACGCGCCATGGCGAGATCATTCTGGCTTGCACCCGCGGTAGTCGTCCCCGGGAGTTGGTGCAGCTATGTCGCAGGTCAGACGGGAGGATTGGGAAATTTTCCGGAGGCAACGCACTCGCGAGGAGGAAGGACCCGCGATCCGATCCTAATGTCCGCATTAGCAGATGACTTTTCGCATTGTATCCGCTGTAGATGAACCTGTTGGAGACTCCGATCGCCTTCGGTGTGCTTTAAGACCTGAGAGAGAGGGTTGAATGGCACAGCGCATTCGGCACCAGAAATGAGGCCTTCAAAAGACATGGTGGTCGAGAGGAAGCAGATGCGGGGAAGGACCTCGCACGGGCCGAAGAGACTCCGATCCGAAAATGTTTGTCAGCGACTGGCATCTGATTTTCGTCAGATCTCTAACTCCAGCGCGCTCGCGATTGACCGAAGGATAGCGGTCGTATGTGGATTGTCATCGCTGGTTATCAGACCAGACGAGCAGAGCGATTGGTACATGAGATCGAGTGGATAAAGTATTGTTACACCAGTTTTACTAGACATCGATCAGTCTCGACCGATGCCATGCAATGTGAACCGAAATCCAAAGTCATGAGGCTACGAGTACAGATATGACCGAGGAGATCTACTTTTTCCCGGCAATGCCCATCTTAGAGTGTTTTCCATGACCCCGTTTCTTCGCGGCTTGGGATAAAGTCATGTATGCATAAGGATCCACACCCCCCTTCTTGAGATCACCGCCTGCTTTCTAAATCCGAGTCAGACAAATCGATCGTGCTTGGGAAGGAGGCTTACTTTGGCTTTGAATTCGTGGCCAAACTTGGGGTCTCCCTTGTGCTTGGCCTTTTTGCCCTTGTCCTGGGCGTCGTCCATTTCGACATCACCCTCAGCCTCGTCGTTCTCTCTTCTCCGTTTCTTGGTGTCCTTGTTGAACTTGACTCGGCCGTTGGCGCCGCGGGTAAAGCCGTCCACGGACGTCAGATTTTCTTGGTAAGCGGTTCCCTCCACGTCCTCTTGTGCATGGTCCTCTTGCTCGTCCTCCTCGCCGTCGATGATCATCTTGCCTGTGTCCGTGTCCGTTTTGAAGCGGGCGGCGTCATCACCGGGTTTCTTGCGCCGGTTAGAGGATCCTTCTGGAAAGAATGTGAGTTGGCCTGATTCCCGCAGCAGACATTGGACGCACGAGTAACCCTCGACGCTGCGCCCTGCAGAAGATCCATCGGCTCGTCATCATCAACACGCAGCCGAATGTTGTTTTGTGCTGCCTTCCTCTTATCCTGCTGTCCCCGACGCGGCTGAGGCTCTTCTTCATCACTGTCGTCCAGCTCGCTCTCGCTGCCGTATAGAACATCCTCGAAGGCATCACCAGAAACGGGTTTCGCCGCTGCTGGCTGGAATGCAGTGTGAGTGTAGGCGTATAGGCACTGGATGACGCTTACTGCATCCTCATCCTCCTCCTCCTTCCCAGCTTTTTTCCTCTTGGCTCTCTCTTTGCGCTTTTTGATGTTCACCAGGACTTTCCTGGCCTCGTCTTCGCCCGCGCAGCCATAAACTTCGTCCCAGGTAAATCGCCTCAACAAGCGTTCGAAGATATGTCGGACTTTGGCCTTAAAGTGATTCTTATGGTCGTGCGACCAGCCCAGGAGTGCTGGCACAAGAGCAGCCAGATGAGGCCGAACGATATCGGCAGGGAGAGTATGGATGGACAGCTTCACGAATCCTAGCGTGGATTTGATGATCTCGCGGTTGGCAGACGACAAAAACACAAGCAAAGTGGACAGGATCTCGGAGTGCATGGCGGGTGGAATCAAGTCTGCGGTGATTATGAGCGCCCACCCCGCTTCCACCAGGAGAGAAACGGACCTTTGAACTCGAACACAAGTCGGGACACGGCAGTCACGGTTGCACTGATCATGTGAGGTGTCGCACCAGCCAATCCACCGGCGACCATAGTCATGAACTCTTGGATGTCGGCGGTTGTATCTTCAGCCGAGTCCTGATCCATTCCGTCCACGAGGTTGCGTTTCACGACACCACCCTGGCTCATCTTCCGGCCCATTGCCACGATCAAGTCGAACGCCGCTGTGCGTGCCTTCTCTGAGGGCTCCTTGGTGCCCAGCACGGCTTCAGGGATAAGGGTGGGGATGATGTGCATGGCAGTCGGAGGGAGCAACGGAATGAGAAGCGTCAGCAACGTAAACCGGTCCTGCGCACCGTCAGTTCGCGGAGATACGAAAAGTAGAACGGGCGCACCTTCTTCGCAGCGGAGGCAAGACCCTCTTCAAGTTCGTCAATCTTCTTGAGCACGACCTCTGCCCGCCCATCCTGGGATACATCCACTTTCCCGGTCTCGACCAGTCTGGCAAGAATCTTGTATCCGCGCTTCTGAACGCCGTTGTCTCGGGCACCGAGCACCTGCGCACTCAGGCAAAGGTCGAAAAGTTGTTGCGCGTCCGCAGTGGAGAGACTCGGAAGCAGGAGAAGAATCAGGTCCTGGGTGACGGCCGCCTCGCTTCCTGCCTCAATCGAGCTGGAGTGAGTCTGTTTCGACAGGGCAACCAAATGGGTTTTCAGCAGCTGAACCAGCTTAGACTGTGCTTTTGCAACTTCCTGAGTAAAGCATCAGCCCGGGAATCTCAGAATTGTAAGCCATACCTTCTCTCCAGCCACGCCAGCCCAAGCCGAGATCACGTCGCCCACGGAGTTGCGGTTGTCCCGAGGCACAGTACTGAAGACGTTGAACAATACAGCCATCCAGCTTTCTGCCTGCGTGCGCAGATGCTCCAAATTGGCTTGTGCTTGAGCTGGGGTCAGATTGCTCGGATTTGTCGGAGCTGTCTCGGATGCATCGTCCGAAGCAGCGATCGCAATATTGGACTCGACGAGGACCTTGAGAGCGCGCAGAACAGAGGGTCGCAGTTCTTCCTGGCCATAAAGCAGGTTGGACAACAGCGATGCAAAGCTCGGATTGAGGGATTGGGCGAGATCGGGGGTCCCCCAGCAGTATCCCACCAACCCAGTCCAGATTTGGCCGATGAGCACGCTCCATAGTTTGACCTGAGCCTGTCGTCCTTCGCCCTCCGCTTCCTGCTGCAAACCAAACATCCGCTCGCTCAAGGGCACAAAGTAGCCGACGAAGTGTGAAAGCGGAGACGGGTGTGGCTGGGCGAGGAGGGGAAGCAAGTACGCCCGGGGCTCTTTCGAGGCGGTTCTGGAGAAACCGGTCATCAGATCGCGCAAGAGATGTTGAATGGTGCTTACCTGTCTGCTGGTTCAAGGTTCAGGGGCAGGACTTCGAGCAAGACATGGGGACCTAGTACTCGTACGGCCGCTCCCAGCGTGGCATCTGCATCCTCCTTGTGCTCGAATCCTTTCTGCACTCTCAGATCTCCGATGTGCTGGATCAAGGGCAAGAGTAACGCCTCTGTAGCACTGTTGCCAGTGCCTCCTACTTTGAACCGTAGACTGACGATCAGAGCAGAGACAACAGACAAAAGTTGGGGGATGGCGCCAGCATACGGAAGTGAATCGAGCGCCTTGCTGATCTGCTGTACGATCTTTCCCACGGTGGTCGAACGAGTCTCGCCCGTCTCAGCCAAGGTCGACTGCACCATCTCGACCGTGATACAGCTGGTCAGCGAGACAAGAGATTCAGCAGCAGCTTTCTTGGTGGCTCCGTCGTTGGACTCGAGGAACGGCCAGACAGCTTTCCATACCCGTCCCAGTTCGTTGGTAGCAGCTTCTGGATTCGTCGAGTGATAGCAGAACATGGCGGTGCCGAGCACCTGTGTCCAGGCGGGTGCGAGGGTCGTGTCGGCTTTGGAGGGAGGAGAGGAAAGCACGGCCTGGAGAACCGAGGAAATCTGATCTGCGGTGTCGGTTGATTCATCATCAACAGGCAGGGAGAAGATCTCGGCGAGGAGGGAGTAGGATGATTGGGACAGATACGAGTTGCCAAGTCGTGGTAGGCTCAGGAGCAGGTTTGTGAGCGGGGGCAGAGCCTGTCGCAAGTAACCATGAGATCAAGAGTATGTCAGACGAAAGTTGAACGCACAGATGGGGGAAGGTGTGATAATAGAGGCCGGAGTAGCGCAAGAACGTGAATAGCCGAGTCATCGGCGACAGGTGCTGCAGCAGACTTAGATCGTGCGAATGGCCCCGAACTGACTTCCGCCAACGCCGACTTGACCCACTCTGCCACACGTTCCGCATACGGATGCCTAGAGAGAGGTGCTGGTGGATGCGCAAGTACATCTCTGACGATCTCAGCCGCCTTTTTGCGCACTTTCGGTCGCGGATCGACACACAACTGGAGAATGGAGGCGAACGTCTGTCGGACGCCTTGTGCGTCGAGCTGTGACCGATCGAGTGTCTGGAGAAGGATTTGATAAAGGGATAGTTGCGATCGTAAAGGGGGTGCATGTTGTGCTAGGGCAGGGAACAGCGGTGCAGTCAGAGAGAGGATCGTTTCCAGATTTGATCGCACGACTGCGGGTGGTACGAACGGTGCTACAAGAGCTAACAGGTAGAGTTCCGCAGGCAATATCGCGCTGTCCTCCAACCCGACATCGTTCTTCTGCAAAGTCCCATCGAGCGTGGTCAAGAGCGCGGCGAAATAAGCGGTAGGAGATGGCTCAGTTTTGTGTTCTCGGAGGGTCGATTCGAGCGCGACAAGCAGTGTCGCGGGAGTTTTCTGGTGAGCCAGTGCAGATGTCGTGTGCGGACGGATCTTTTCGAGAGCTTGCTCCATGCTCCTCGACCTCGAGATTCGGGAAATGAGAAAGGCTGGAAAACTTTTAGATCATTGATTACATCAGGATCATATTCGCGGCCCCGGGCCGGGACCAGTGCTTACTTTCAGAGCTCGCTCCCATGGCGCGAGGAGGAACTCCAGCCTCCTGGTCATACATTCTCATTCGGCATGTGTCTCGCAACGTATTCTATCAATTTCGCTTGAACTAGTTCAGCCTACTGTTTCGATTCGTTCTCAAGATATTCTATGGTACAATCGTCGTCGAAGGCGCGCAACACATACCGAAGGATGGAAACCCATGCGTCGTCTGCGCGAACCACAGTAACTCCTTAACCGATGCACTGTATGTATCTTTTCTCTCAGTACCTCTAAACACGCTAGAACGATTGAAAGTATGCTCGTCACATCTATCCCGCCTAAGGTGCGCACAGAGACTTTGTCGCGTCTCAAGAGCATGAAATGGTCTATAGCAGCGCAGTTGTAATGGATTGGCCCTCTTTTCTCCATCTATATGGCTGAAGACGCGCCAGTGCTCCGTCTCACGGCCAAAGCTACTCAATTCGGCAAACGGACCTTTACCTCTTGGTTAATCGAGTCTGCGGGGACTGTGCCGTTAATGAGAAAGAAGGATTATGGAGATGGGAGACAAGTTGTGCGTGATATTGACTCTTTTCCATTCAACGATCTCATGCAAAGCTTAGGACAACACTGTGGTTATGGAGAAGCTTATGCAGGTTGGCCTGGTGACTCCAATAAGTCCAGATTTGACATGGATTGTATAGGCGCTTGAACTCGGAGATGCCGTCTGCCTCTTCCCTGAAGGGATGAGTCGGTATCACCCGACCATCGCTCCACTGAAGACCGGCGGTCCGTGGCTCGCTCCTCAGTCTGTTCGATGACCTCATTCGGCCTTTAGTCGCACGTCTTGTGTCAGATGTCCTGACGCGGAACCGAGACGACCCAAGCTTTGAAATCGCGGTTCAAAACTGCTCTGTCACATACATGTGGGTCGACTGGTACCCTCGTACCAGACCCACCCATTCATTCTGTTCAGGCACAGGCAACATTGGCGCTCGGATGTCTTGGTCACCTTCCATCCTCCCATGAGATTCTCGCCCAAAGTGCGTGACATTTCTGGGACTGTGTCATCCATGCTGATGATTAGTCAGATGAATCCAGAACTGCTCGCCCCGGTTGATTTTCAAGACATTCGGTCTCTGACTGGCAAAATCCATGAGCAGGTGAGTAAACGTTGCAGGTGCAAACGGCTCATTTTGAGGAGATCAGATCAGCTCAGGAACTCTTGATTCTCCATCTTGGGACTTGGTCCGTGCCAGCAAACTTGCTGCTCGGATTTATGCTCCGTTGGGGACACGCATGACGCTGGGCGACCACGTGCGGGTCGTTCGTACCTTTCTTGAGGCATTCAAGGACTTGGACGAGCCGGAAGAGAAGGATTGTGACGAGACAGCCGAACTGAAACAATTATGCGCGGACCTGTTAGCATACCAAGATCTGCTGGCGCGCTGGGGCATCAAAGATGACCGAATCCGGCGACCGTTGATTGCGCGGCGGGTCGTTGTTGGGCGCATTATTCTTCGGTTTGTGTGGTCGATATGCTTGTTCGCCATCTCAATGCCAGGGCTGATGCTTTGGATCCCGGTGCTCCTCACGACAGTCTATGCCGTTCACAATTTCAAGAAAGTGCGTGTCGAGGCTGTACGTTCCGCTGCTTACATCATTAATGCCGCACCCAGACCGGACCTGTCTTTGACACATTCGATGAAATAGCTCAATACAAGCTGATCTATGGGCTGATGTCTGGGCTTTGTGTCTGGATGGCAGCGTCTTTGCTGACATTCCCATTCACTCCCATCACGTTCATGCTTGTGCCTGCCTTGATGTGGATGACTCTCCGTTGGCTGGAAGATGCTGTTGCTGCATTCCGAGCCTTCACTGCCCTCTCCCGTCTGTTGTTGGTAGGACAGCCACGCTTGGACAAGATGCGGGAACAGCGATTCGATTTGCATCGCCGGATCTTGAGTCTGGCTGTCAATACATTGGGGTTGCCAGATAATCCCGAGTCGTACTTCCTCCAGAATGGCGGGAAAGAAAAGGGACGCGTTCGGGGCAGATGGGAAAGTGGCTCGCGATACTTCTCTCTCAAACGAAGGAGAAAGCGAGACTGGAACGAGACGCTCAGGCTATACGATGTAGTGGACTATCCCAAAGAGGACTAAATCGATATCATAATCTTGCTATATCTTGCTACGTACATGGTTAAATGGCCTATTACTGTTGAATACACAGTCCAGGCAGTGACGTGATTCACCCATTTGCTTCGTGTTCTGGGGATCCTACACTCCTAATGATGGCCCAAAATCGTAGTGACTCACATACCCTGTGACGGCGAAGCTTAAGCGACAGGACCTCGTTCCACTGGACCAAGAGATGCATCCGCAGGTTTCCAGCGCGCTTTGGCATATGTTTCAGGCGCGAGTGCGTCCCGCATCTGACTGACCCGCGGTCGCTTCGGCCACGCGTATGGTCCTGGAGCGGACGGCCATTTCGGAGCCGTCGGCGTCATTGGTGATGCTGGAACAGTAGGAAGATGCGCGGTGAACGACGTATATGTATGCCCCTGCGCATCTCTTGGAGCCGAGGCCGTCGAGTATTCCGAGACAGACGACTGGGATCGGAAGGACAGCCCGCGTTTCAGGTCGCTCGATCTCGACACCTTGGCAGCAGTCTCTTTCGGTCGCATTTGATCCTCCCAGTCACCAAATGAAGGCCATCTGGGCGTCTGATCGGGGAGTGGGGGCTGGCTAGCACGGAATGCGGGTTGGCGCAAGTCGATCAATAATTGCTGATACGTTTCCTCCTGCTGTCTGGCTTCCCGGTCCAATAAACTCTCCTTTGCATGTCGTGCATTCATAGAAGACTTCGAAGAACGATGTGATGGGAGAGTGGGTCGGGGCTGTGCGAAGGACGCGAGCGACATGTCGGATTCCTCGGTGTCATACGTAGGGCTCCTACGTTTAGACCGCTGATACGCGCATATAGCGACCGCAACGGCGACAATGAAGAGCACCGCAGCCCCGGCGATGATGGCTATGAACGCACCGGGCTGCATATGAATGCCTGCATTGTCGAGTGACTGGTGGGTCGCCCGAATGTTAGAGCAGAGAGCGACGCAATAGGAACCGCGGACCTGAGCTAGTGAATTTGAATCTGATTGTCCCGACATTTGCCCATGCAGCCAATGATCAAGAGAATACAAGGGAGAGAAAGAGCAGTAGCAATAGAAGTAGGAGAGAAGGGACGTCAGGCTGAGCGCGCCGTTGGCCAGACGAATGCACTGGCTGTACAATTAGATCATGTGGGGGTGATATAGCTACCAGGTCCACTCGGGGCGGATACGTCAAATTCCATCGTCCGCAAGGAGAATCATGCAGGTATCAATTGTTCGTCGTTGCGTAGACGCGTGCCGTCTGATAGAGCACTTTTACCTCTGAAAGGATACATTCAAGACTTGATAAGAATGTCTCATGAGGTGGGTAGCTTCGTTTGCCGATGATGGTTTGAGTGTGGTGCAAAAGAAGGTGCTGAACGCGATCACGTGAAAAAGAGGGCTAGTTACACCCTGATTAAGTATTCACTACATTCCGTGGGTACCTAGACCCTGACGGGTCTAGATCGGGGGATCAATGTCCGAGTACGGTTGTCCATACAGGACATGGTCTGTTTCCATGATGGAACACGATGTAGTGCTCGGGGTCCTGGCACTCCGTGACAGGATGGCTCATATGCGCTGACTGGCAGGTACATGATGATGTAAGAGGCGGTGCTAAGCCGCGTCGCCGTCGGTGATCGCGTCGGGGGAGCGTAACTCTACAATGGAGGGTAGTCCATATTCCCGGTTTTTTTTTCATAGGTGATTCCTACTGGGAATGCAGTGTGATCCCTTTGTATCATTCTTCAGAGCGTCAGCTGTAAAGACAAAAAATTTAGCCATCGGATGAGTTCGGTCCGATCATTTCTGATGATGTTCACACGACTTTACATGCATGTGACCAATAGTCCTCTCGAAACACATGCATGGGTTTTTGTGCACACGACCGCAAGTGCTCGCGGTCGTCGTCTCAGATAATGAGCTCATTTTCATCTCCCTCTGCTTCAATCCCTTGCCGCGTGCCCAAACTCAGGCCCACCGGGATGGCCCTAGGCAGGGGAATTGGTGGCAATGCTCTGATAAGCGTGTTGCGATGGTGGCGAAGAACACTGATCGAAGCTATCTACGGAACAAACGGCATGTCTACAGAGCCAATCAGCACAGCCACCGATCACCCCTCCCGCCCCACACTCACCCGGATCGTCGCGCACTCGATTTGTGAGGTGTTGAGACTGATCTGAGTGCAGTTGTTGCACGGGCGGTTAGAGATAAATAAGACCATGAAAGAGTGTGCCACACTCGGTGCAGGGAGGCATGAATCAGAGATGTGGGACACAAGCAAAACTGAGGGAGTCAGGGTCGAAGTTTCACGGGACCGTTTCCCTGCACACGTAAGCTCTGATGGCGGTCTCGGAAAAGTGCGTGTCGTAGGCAGTATAACATACCTGAGTTACTCGTTGGCGCAAACTCATGAAAACGATTCGCATATGTTGCCTGCAGCTGCTCAGGAGTCCCAGGTGAGCATAGATTACTGTACGCGTTCACTGTGGCCTGGTCACGTGACGGTGAAGACCAAGAAGCGAGCACTACTGACGTGTTCCAAATGACGACCAGAGATCATGTCACAGTATGTCACATCCATCACTAAGACCCCCAAGCTCAAATCACGATCGCATCTATCAAAACAGACCATGTCCTTAATGGCCAACGGTAGTCCGAGACAAGTCCGACAAGAGCCGAGGTGCCTAGACCATCAGGGACTTCGGCGCTAGTCCCTAATTTGGGTCGCCGGCTACCGAGCTGTGCCAGGCCCGCGGAAACTCAGTATTATGTCACTCAAAAATAAAGTAAAACAAGGTCCAAAAATGGCCCAACCTCACTCAGTAGAATAAAGTAAAACGGGTCAAAATGTGCCAAGGTACCTCAGAATTTAGCGTAAAACAGCCCCCAGTTGAGCGGTTTCGGACTTGAGGGGAGAGAAATGTTCTAAAAGCGGAGCTGATCAGACAAGTTCCCCTCGCTTTTTCCCAGCTCTCACCCATTTAAGCACAGAACGTGCAGTAAATCTCAGTCCAAGAGCTCAAAAAAGACCTCACGTGAACGTATGCACAAAAACTGAGGGGTCCCTCGAAATTTAAAGTAAAACTACCCCAAAATGGCAATTTTCGTAAAGTAAAACAGTCTTTGGTCCTTGAGTGACCTTATACTGAGTTTCCGCGGGCCTGCTGTGCCTTTTTGAGTAGTCACCCGTGTGTAGTCACTATTCCGGAACCGGTCGGCCCTGGGGCTACTGGTGCCTACCAGAGACGTTGCCGCCAGTCCACCCTTTTGACTCCTCCATACTTTTCCATACTTTTCCTTCATCCACACTGTACTAGTCGGTGAATGCAGTTGTTGGGCCATCTCAAAAACCTCCATTCTCGTTGTCAACCTGGTGCCAGTGTGAAGGGACCGTGTGCGTGTGCGAGTTTTCAAAACAGGCAATCATGTCATTTTAGCTTTTTCCGTCCCTGGTCCTCATACGCAATGGGCGGTAGACATGTAACAGTAAATACAAGCGGTTTTAATAATGCATTCATGCTCTCTATAAAATTTGTAGTATCTAAGAATGTCCACAATGGCGGGAGAGGCGGGAGAGGCCCGAAATTGCGCTCAGAGAGTGCCGTGGGAGCAAGAGTGGACTAGCCGAGACTGAATGATGGCCGATCAGTGACCGATCTCTCTCGACCCCACTTGCACCCCACTTGGTCCCATGTAGCCACCGGTATTAATCACTATGGTGTCTACATGTGTAGTCACGCTCAAGGGGCTATGGGTGACTAGTTTCCTAGTCTCCTTCGGGGTCTAGGTACCCACGGAATGTAGTGATTACGCACGAGACTATGATAAGGTTGCAAAATGAAAGGAACGATTATGACAAACGAGAAACATCCTCGAGGTACTCAATGCACTCGCGGGAGATGGAGTCTTTCCAGATGCTGAGGATTCTGGGATGGTTGTCCTGCGCATGCAAAATATGAGCCATGCGATGGCCGAGGACAAGCGAGAGGTAGCCCAGGACGGCCGCCATAGCATCCGTCCTGTGATCCCGCGGTGTGGTCAGCAGCACTCGCACGTTTTCATCCGTGCTCAGCCCAGACTCATACAGAAAATCTCGTACTGCGAGGAGCTGCCTTTCGTCAAGAGACGTGAATCGACTGGCTTCTCCCTCGTCGAACAGGATGTCGAAGTAGTCTTCCTTGCAAAGGGCTTCTCCCCGTGCCAGTGCTTCGTCCCGCACGCGCTGAACTTTGGCGTCGATTTCAGCGGGAGTCGGTGGCTCGGGGCTGTACAGCCTGGGAAGTCGCAACTTCAGTTTCTGCGCCCCCGTCTTGCGTTCTGCGCAAGGTTTGATTTGGGCAGAATGGCGGGTGGAGAGAGAGATGTAGTGCGTGAATGGCCGGCCTCCGTCTGCTCGGAGGTCTTCGGCTCGTGCGACTCCAGAGTCAACAAAGTCGTCCTCGAAGGCAACGAAAAGACCGTGAATCAGCATCTGCAGGCAACGAGACTCGTTTTGTTGGGGACGGAAGGACCGTTGGGTGGGACAGGGGATTGTGGCGGTACGCGGAACAGGACGCACAAAGCGCGGAAGCGCAGTGAGGTTGAGAAAAGGAGATTTCGAAGTTAGGGAGCGCTGGGGAGAAGGGGATGGAGAATCCATGGCCCCACTGGGGTGGCGCCTGCAGGGAGGGGAAACTGCAACCGACCCCCTCTTGTAATCGAGATAGACGGGCAGAGACACTGGCCGGTATCTCGTTCTTGAGGAGGAGGTCGGGCTGGTGTGCAGGTCTTTCAACATCGGGGAGGGAAAAGAGGGACGGTGATTGGGGATAATCTCAGGAGCGGGAAAACAAGGAGTGTGGGAGGGGGGAGATAGTTAAAGGAGAGCGCCATCCTCGCACTTATACGTGATCGGGGCGGAAGTAAAATGTATTGCCGGTGGGGCTGTTTAAGATGGAGGAATGCACAGCAAAACCTGGACCGGATGAAGCGCGGTTTGATTCACATTCGAAGAGACATGGACCCTTTAGCACTACCGTTTCCTAGAACATTCCACCATTGCGATTGCGCTTTCGGAAGATTCTCCCCACTCCGAATCGCGGTCCGTTGGTTGCGTTTCCCCACACCGCGCTTGTGCACGATAGTGGTCAGTCCCGAACTGATGCCTTTCGCTTTCGTTGGTGCATGCCTGCGTGGACGTGGTTGCTTCTTTTGTACAGGCTCCGGCGCCTGATCATCGTCGTCTGAACTATCGGATTCCGGATTGTCATCGTCCCGTTCTCTTGCTCCAGTGTCCGGTTGAGTTGTCCCTGAAGCTGGTAACGAAGGAAAGCCTTTCTCCCATTCCTTACGATGAATCCGAAAAACAGCCATCGTTGCCCGCGCATCCGTAACCTGAACGATGATCAGCATGGGCAAGCAACTTTTGAGAACCTTGAAACGCACACTAGAATGCTCGCCTTCCTGAATGCCGATCCCCAGCTCCTGCTTGACCAGATTCCTCAAGGCGACGTATTTGGACTTGGCGACTTTGTGCTTGCCCGCCAAATGCTGCGTGTCTCGGGTATACGGACGCGGATGAGACAACAATAATGCTTTGGTATCATTTTGGAGCGCGTGCCCAACGAGGATCCGGTCTTTCAGTAGGGCCGCGACGCGCCCTTGTATTTCATCGAATGGATGCGCATTGACCATATCGGATTCGCGGACGCCACTCCACTGAGTTCGGTAGTCCACAACGCGCTCTCGCTGACGGACAAAAGCATCCAATTGAATGGCACCGTAGAAGTTGACGATGCTAACGCGTGCGAGCGATGATTCCTCGCCTTCTGATCCTACACCAACCATTTCACAGTCGAGGGCGAGATACTTGCCTGGCCTTCAGATGATGTTCATGGCTCTGACACGAAGCAAGAATCATCGACGCACTGAGTCTGGGCCTCGGTGTACTCGACATTCCCTGCAACCATCTTGCGTAACGTTGTCACCGACTCGCCGTTGCGCATTTCTTCCAACTCTCCATGATTGTCTTGATTTCGCGTTGCAGACGTCTTTGCAGTCTTCAAAGTGGAGTGAGAAGGTAATTCTTCCTGCTCGATCTTTCTTCGCTTCCGAGGTAAGTCGGATGAATCCCGGGACTCGCGTGGTCGAGTTTTTGTTTTGGGTAGTGTCTGTATGATACAGCGGTTGAGGAAAGCGCGTGGTAGATAATCATATGCTCGCCTTCTGTAGTGCGAGCCAATTCGAAGAGGGGCCAGCTGCACCGGCTGGCATTGTAGTATTTCAAGATAGAAAAGAAGACAGATCGAGCTTGGGACAAACTGTCTCGATTGACATCTGATCGGCACCGCCTCAACGCACGTGCAGTATTGCCGGCTGCTGATCTTGGAAAATTTCAGAGCTTTACCTCCTCCCGTTACGCCCATCGGCGCCCATCCTCAGGGATTACACTGCAGATCTCCGCAACCAATTCGACCATTGACCTAGATCTATTTCACTCTCTGCTAATTCTGTATCTTGCTTGCCTGTACTCGGTTAACTCCTTCCATCTGTATATCCTACCATTAGATGTCTCCTGTTGCTACCGCGGATTTCGGGCCTCTTTTAGAGGCGCTTCGGGCAGCACCCTCGGCTCCAGGTGCGTTCTTCGAGAGAGTAATTTGTGGACTGAATGGCTGATTGCTTTCTTATCAGAGGCCAAGGGCGCTGCCGATCGCATTGCTCGCGAGGTTTCCAAGTCTGGCCTCCAATCGCTCGAGTATGTACCTGCTCTGCTGATTGGCATATCAAACTCACCTCACTCCAGGGATCAGGGTCTTCTTAAAGGCCTCTACGCTTTTGCCACGAACAAAAAATCGGGATATGAACGGGAATCCGCCGCTATCGCCTTCCAGTCGCTCGCCAACACATTCGGCGCCCCCATTGCTCCTCTCTTACTTCCGTCTCTTCCCTTCTTGTTTGAACTCTACATGGACAAGGGCGATGTCGTGCGCACTGCAGCGAGTGCTGCTGTCAAGGCCATCCTCAAATTGTTTCCTCCCGAAGCTACCCGGATCGTGTTTCGTGAACTAGAGTCTATCCTGGTTGTAGGGAAATGGCGGACCAAAGTCGGCGTCCTGGATGCATTCCGGTCTTTCGTGACGCCGGCTCGCGATGCTGTTGGCGCCGAACTAGTGAACGTTTTGCCGAAGATTGAAGGTGCCATGCATGACACAAAGCAAGAAGTGCGTCGTTTGAGCTCAGGATCATGCCCTTGTTCTGATCATCGTTAGGTCTCTGCCGCCGCAGTCAAGTGTGCAACCGCATTGTGCGCTACACTTGCAAATCCCGACCTCGCACCTCACATTCCTGTTCTCGTGAAATGCATGGCCAACCCGGACTCCGTCCCTGCCTGCATCAAAGCGTTGTCATCGACCACTTTCGTCGCTGAAGTCACCGCCCCGGCTTTGGCTGTCCTTGTTCCGCTGTTGATTCGCGCGTTGAACGATCGAAGCATGGAAACGCAGCGTCGCACTGTGGTCGTGATAGACAATCTAGTGAAGCTTGTCCGAGATCCCAAGGTTGCCGCACAGTACTTGAGCACGCTTGTGGAGGGCGTAGAGAAGATTGCTAAAGGCGCCGCCTTCCCAGAAGTATGTCTAGTTTTCCTCTGTATTGGATGATGTTTAACCGTTGATGTGTAGGTTCGTGCATTCGGAGAATCAGCACTGCAGACTCTGATCAAATCCGGGGCGTCTGCTGCTGGGGCAGTAGTCGAGAACCGTGATATCGGCGGAGAAACATCAGAAGCTCAGACGACTCTTCTGACTTTGCTGCCCGAGGACCTCGCAACAGGTCCCCCGAATGGTCCCCGGACTGCTAAATTCTCTCTCTTGGCGCAATCCCTGGCCTTCCAAGCATCTCTAGTAGCAGATCTGGTTCACGGGCGAGCATTCGGAGATAAGCAGATCTGGTATCGCTGCGTTGGCGTCTTCCTGGAACCATGGACCGATGGTGAGCGAGCGACGGCGTTTAGCGAAGCGGTGCGCTCCCATTTCCACGCGATTGAGCAGGTGCGTTGGATAAGGGCTGAGGTTCGGTCGCTCTACTAACACACATTGGCCCAGGCAAAGTACCAGGTTGTGGCTGCGGATGACGAAGAGGGCGAGGTGCTGTGTGACACACTGTTCTCTCTTGCTTATGGTGCTCTGCTTCTGCTATCACACACCACCCTCCGCCTTATCCGCGGTCGCCGTTATGGTATCCTCGGGACGAACGGGTCTGGCAAGTCAACGCTCATGCGCCAGTTACGCGACGGCAAAGTCGAAAACTTTCCGCCCCAATCTCAGCTACGCACTGTCATGGTCGAGCATGCCCTCCAGGGAGAAGACACTACCTTGTCGGTCATCGATTTCATCGCATCTGGTCTGTCATCTGTGTGCTGACCTCCCCGAATCTGACCCTTGTTTAGATCCCCAGCTGAAGCAGATTCCGCGGGCCAAAATTCGGGATCAGCTACTCGAGGTTGGGTTCGATGATGCTCGCCAGTCCGATCTTGTCGGTGGCCTATCCGGCGGCTGGAAGATGAAGCTCGAGCTTGGTCGAGCCATGCTGTACAACGCAGACATCCTTCTGCTCGATGAGGTGAGTGCGATCCAAGCTGGCTTGCTTCCCCATCTGAACTGTGCTACAGCCCACTAACCACGTATGTTCGTCTGTGCTGTGTTCTATTCCGGGTCTCATCCTTCTAGTTGGATCGCGCATCTGTCCTGTGGCTCGAGAAATACCTCAAGGCCCAGAAGAACGTCACTTGCCTGGTAATCAGTCACGACTCCGGGTATGCCGTCGAGCACGGTCGCTGCCACGTTTGCTGATCCTTGGGCACAGCTTCCTCGACAATGTGACCACCGACATCATCCACTACGAGTCGAAAAAGGTACGTTCGATTGCTCAGCCTGAAGACACCCCATGAAATATGTCGTAGCTCGTCTTTTACCCGGGAAATCTTTCCCACTTTGTATCGATCCACCCCGAGGCCAAGTCATACTACACGCTGGCCGCGACATCTGTCAAGTTTTCCTTCCCTGCGCCGGGATCTTTGATGGGCGTCCGCAGCAACACACGAGCGATCCTCAAGGTGTCCAACTGCACGTTCACATATCCGGGCAGATCGATTCCAAGCTTGTATAACGTCAGTTGTGCGCTCTCCTTGTCCAGGTCCGTGGCGCAACATGATGCAACTCGGTCACGTGTTGATATAGCCCCAGTCGTGTCGGTGTTATTGGGCCCAACGGAGCGGGCAAGTCGACTTTGATCAAACTGCTGACGGTGCGTGTATGTGTCTGTGCTGCCGACGGAATCTCACGCTGCCCAGGGTGAAACAGTTCCGCAAGAGGGAACCGTGTACAAGCACCCGGCTTTGCGTGTCGGTTACGTTTCTCAGCATGCGACCCACCACATAGGTCTGCCTGGCATCTCTGTTTCCCCTGTGTTCCATCTCAGTTGCCTGCAGAACGCCATCTCGAGAAGACACCAATTCAATACATCCAGTGGCGCTTCCAGGACGGCCATGATCGTGCGTCTCGGGCTGTCAGGGTTTGAATCATCCTGATATGTGACAGGTGAACTGTTGGAGAAAGCAACTCGCGTGCTGACGGACGAAGAGCAGAAGGCGCTCGATCAGGATTGGGTCGGCAGAGACGGATCCAAGCGCAAGTTCGAGGTCTGCTTCACCACGATCGGTCATTGACGCAAGCTGACCGAGTCCCACCAGATGGTGATGGGTCGTCAAAAACTGAAGAAGAACTTCCAATACGAAGTCAAGTGGAAAGGCCTAGACCACAAATGGAATACCTGGGTGCCGCGTGAAGAGTTGATTGCCAAGGGCTTTTCGAAACTAGTGCAGCAATTCGATGACCTCGAGTCGTCACGTGAAGGTGCTGGAACGCGTGACACGGCAGCCCATCTCGTCCGCAAGCATCTGGAGGATATCGGTCTCGATGGAGATATCGCGCAGTACAACGAGATCTCTGGACTGTCCGGTGGCCAGAAGATCAAGCTGGTCATCGCTGCTTGCTTGTGGAACAACCCTCAGGTGAGATCTCGCCCCTGTTTTACGTCCGTGTGTGCTAAACGGCCTGTTTCTAGATTTGTATTCTGGATGAACCGAGTAACTTCTTGGATCGTGAAGCACTAGGGGGCCTTGCCGTCGCCATCAGAGACTGGGCCGGTGCTGTGGTGAGTCATATCGACCATGCGCTACGGTGTGATCTGAGCCTGCGCAGGTTATCATCTCCCACAACGAAGAGTTTGTGGGTGCATTATGTAAGTGGTATCCGAAGGGCATCGACGGATGGCTGACTGCGCTGTAGGTCCTGAGATCTGGAATGTGGAAGCTGGGCGGATGAAGCAACAGGGCAAAGCTGGGATCGTCGAGGACGCCTTTTTGGACGGGAAATCACCCAAAGGAAGCGGGGCCAACACCCCAGCGCGCTCTCGTCTGGCGACGCCCGCTGCTTCGGTGAACGGAACGCCCGTTGGAAGTGGGGAGGAGGACAATGGGTCGCCCAAGCCGGTCGCCCGGAAAAAGAAGAAGCCGACCCGCAACCAGGTCAAGGCGCAGGAGGAGCGTCGCCGACTGCGGAAGCTGGCCTGGCTGACCCATGGTGGGCCGAAGCCAGAGGACACCGACAGCGAGACCGAGCCTGTGTAGGTAGGTCATGTGTATTATTTATCTAGAGAATACACCGGAGATGACTTATATCGTACTCGGTATGTAAATCAGTCTGCTTGCAGTAGTGTCTACAGTAATGCTGGGATATATAACTAAGTAAGTGAACAGACAACAAGTGCGAGCGATCTCCATAACTAGGTGGGGGGTGGCAGTACGGTATGTAATCAATAACAGGTCCGTCACGACGAGATCTGAGCGAAATAGCGTGAGATTAAGGCACATAAGTTAGGAAGCCAAGAAGGATCTAGGAATGAAACTCATCCCACCAAGAAGCCAGTGACGCTAGCAACCACGAGCGAACGTCCATTCAGTAGCCCCGGGGGCCCCATTTTCGAGAGTCAATGGCTTCCTCCTGGCTCCTGCCACGTCGATGGGAAGAGGACACCTGCTGTGCCGATCCCCGGGGCTCGTACTCCCCGTCGTCGATGCCCTGCTCGTCCGACGAGAGCGAGAACGACTGGTGCGCAGAGTTGCTCTGCCGATTCGTCTGTCGCATCGACTGCCGCTTGTTCTGGAACCTATCCGGGGTTTAATATCAGGTCTTGGACCCGAAATGAAGGCTCACCAGATTTGGACGCTTCTCGGCGACATGTCGAGGGCCTTGGCTAACGCTAGTCGCTCGTCCGTCGACGGAAATGCGGTCCTGGCGTACGTATCATTCAGCACTCGCAATTGGGCTGCATCAGCCCGTTTCCGTTTCTTCTTGACCGTGGGCTCGTCGGCGCTCGTCGGCGACACCGGTGGCGGTGTCGGCGGGGCTCGGCCGTACGGGGAACTCGAGCGCAGTGCATCGGGCATCATATGCGTGCCTAGGGGTTGGTACGAATAGTTGGGTGGTTGCTGATAAGCGGAGTTGTATGGGACTGGGTACGACGCAGTCGGTGATCGGATCCCAGTGTTTTGTTGAGCGCCGTTGAAGCCATGAGGCGCGTAGGAGCTGTTCCATCTGTCATCGCGAGCTGGCCCAGGAGTCGTACTCAGCGGCGGTAGCTTCCGCATGTCGGAGGTCTGGCCTGGGGCAACTGATGCTGAGCGCGGAACGTACATTGCCGCGGAGTACGCTGGCTGTGACGACGCGAAGCGCGTGTCCTCATAAAAGTAGCTGGGCTGGGGGGCGGGCATAGCTTCGAGATGTTAGCCAGAGTACACAAGCGAGCGCAGTCACACACGAGCGTTATTAGGCTGCCACTGGTTGTTGCACGGCTGATTATACTCAAAACGACGTGACTGGAACTGGCTGGAATGAGGGGGCACTGGACAAGTAGTTGAGCGACGCGTTCGTTCAAAGGGAAAAAGCACCAACCTGGAATGTGTGAGATTGGAGATGCCGAAGAAATAGGCGGAAGAAGAGTCCGCCCACCCTGTCCCGTCTGGAAAAAGCCGCCGCTCTGGTCTGCAGAGGGGCTGCGTGCCCGATGCGAGTTGTAATAACGGTCATCTCGGGTCGACATTGCCAGCCGAGTAGTTAAATGAAGAGAAGGGAACGAATATTAGTGATGATTTCCCGGGTGTCAACGAGGATTAAGTATAAGGAAACACGCGGTGAACGCGACACTGCAGGACTCGAACGCTTGAAACGGAGGCGAGGCAAATCAGGGACAGTGGGAAGGTAGCGTCAGACAAGCTGCTACAAGCATGTAGCAGAGCCACGCGGAGTATGGCAAGTAGGGCAAGGGCGAACGCGCGTAAGACACAGTTTGGTGCGAAGAGGGAAGGGGCGATGGCATGCACCCCGCCTGTTAACCAAAAAGCTTATTGACCGGTTTACCGAACTGGTAATCGCCAACAAGCTTCCTGCGGAGGTTGCGAGGAGCCAGCTCGCCGGACCTCGAACAAAAATCCTTCCACAAAAGTGGTGCAACACGAGTTCATTACGCTTGTCACTGATGACTCGAATGAGAGGCCTCGTGGGCTCCGAGGCTGGGTCGGCATCAAATGCCACACTGTCTGGGAGGATCGCGGAAAACAAAGAGCGTCAGGGTTGGGCCGCTACGCAGCACAGCACCCTGACTGATGTCGAAAACATCCCCGGATCTGAGAACAAACGATGGCATCGGAGTCAATCCTCTTCCCTCCCCGAGGAAACGTGCCGCAAGGTCGGCGGCAGAGAAGAGCTGCGTTTGACGCTGGCAGTGGGATGAGAGACGTCACAGGTTCAGCAGGCAACGGTTGTCGGCACGACACGGTTGGCTTGCACACGAGGCTCACAAGCGGAGAGCGTGTACGTACCGATGGGCGATAATCACACCGAGTGGAGGTAACCTCGCGAAAACACATGATCCGAGTGTGAACGGTGTCTTCAAGATGCAGTGACTTTGCGAAGTGGAGGATGATCGTAATCGGTAAGAGCTCCCCGACATGGTGAATCGGCAAACGTAAGCGAGTCTCCGCGTCGTCACGTGCAGCACTGTCAAACATGAGCGTACCGCCACGCTCTAGCCCGTGCTCTCGATTTGTCATCATCAGTGACCATAATTGGGAGCCTCAGCGCTCCTATGTCACCATCAGGAAGGTTGACGCACTGTCCCCTCAGACGGCAACGACGCACCGGTGTCCATGGCGTACCGACCACGCCCGTTGCCGACGCCTCCCACGGTCAAGGCACGAGCATCTCCGTACGACGACGATTATCGATACGATTCATTTCACCCTGATGGATATCCCTACATGGGCTCGCAATTCGCACCGTATTCCTATCGACAACAGCCACCCCCCATACCCACAACCCTGCGCGGTGGAACGCTTCTTCACAAGGGTAAGTTTCGATCCCTCCATCTCAGACTCGGCCAACGAGATCGGGACAGGATTCTATGACCTTCTTTCCATAATCCCCACTCCATCTGCCGCTGCTTCCCGCTTCCTATGGGGAGCAGCAACGGGAGAACAGGAGCCGGTCGTCGCTGGGCCCAGGTACGAGGAAATCAAGCCCGGACTCCCACCTACCACCGCATCGCAACCCGTATCCCCGCCATCCCGAAAAGCCCGGAGAATCAGCAAGGACATGGTATCTCGTCCTACCGGATTCGTGTCTGTCCATTCTCCACCAAACTGAGTTCTTCCTGATGCTTATACGTCTCAGGCACCTTGTTCATGCTTCCGATGCAGACCAATTCGAGGCTCTTCTCACTCGCTGGGGCCCCGATGGCATGGGCAAGTTAGGAGGTCGGCCATCCCTGTTGTCACCTCGTTCGATTGTTCACAGCAGCCTCTAGATCCCCGGTGGGCAAACCCGATCAAGAACCGAGTCCGACAGACCAACCAAGCCCGAGCTGTTAACGAGGTTGTCAATGCGATGAAGCCCTCGGTTGACAACGCTTACGATGGTAACATCCTGGGGCCCCTTCGAGTCGTCAACGGGGGCCCAAGTACCACGACCACTTCTTCGACGCTGACCACTGCGGCGCGTGAGAACTTCTTGACTCCGTCATTGCCTTCACCCGAGATTCTCGGCCGACCGGGCAACTCGACAATCCGATGGGCTGGAGGCCTCCAAGCACACCGAGAGGCGGACGAAACTGCTGCGCATGAATCTGAAGAAGCGCATTTCGTTCCCCCGCCCCCGAAACCAATCACACCTTCTCTCGCCACTTTAGAGAAGGCGGTCTCTGCTCGCATCTACTTTGAGAATCTGTACTTTCCCCTTTTCCGACAACCTTCTTCACGCGAACAACGCAGACTGGCGATGGAACGTGATATGGCCGAAATGAAGCTCAGTCACGCTCAGAAGGAGAACCTGCGCATGCGGTGGTTCCAAAATGAGTCGGATTACCTTAGAGACAAGAGACGGCGGGTGGATGTCACTGCGTTCAAGAAGCTGAAGACTATCGGACATGGAGCGTTTGGTGTGGTATCGTTGGTCAAGGAGCAGTCGAGTGGAAAATTGTATGCCATGAAGGAGGTGAGACCGAGTGACCGTCGCGAAGCTTATACTGATCAATCTCAAGCTGCGCAAAACGGACATGCTTCGGAAAGGACAAGAGGGTCATGTGCGAGCTGAGCGCGACATTCTGAAGACTGCATCTCTTGTCAACGCACCGGGGGGCGCGGAGTGGATTGTGCACCTGTTCTACAGTTTCCAGGACCGTGACCACCTTTACCTGGTGCGTGGTGCAAGTGAGATACGATAACGTAGGGCAGCTGACGAAGATCGTAGATCTTGGAGTATATGGGTGGAGGCGATCTGCTGAATCTGCTGATTGAGCGGGACGTGTTTGACGAAGGCTTCACTCGATTCTATGTGGCTGAGGTGCGGGCCGGTCCATTGGAGGTGTTTAGTACTGACAGCGGTGGGTCTAGATGATTCTTGCGATTGAATCGTGCCATAAGCACGGCTTCATCCACCGTGACATCAAACCAGACGTCTGCCATGTCCCGCGTCCCTGCGTTTCTGCTGACAATTTGTAGAACTTTTTGTTCGATCCTTCTGGCCACATCAAATTGAGTGATTTCGGACTGGCGTCAGTGCTGCCCATGTCTCGTCTGTCAAATACTCACGTAGTATTCCTCCAGGACGGACCTGCACTGGGCTCACGACACATCTTGTACGGAAACATAGCCGCCGATATCGATCACGGGGCTAATATGAGCGTCAGACTACGAGCAACAGCGCCTTCACCTGCTGCACAAGCATGGTATCGATCTCGAGGACTCGAATGGCATTGCAGACGGCCGCAAGACCAGACGCATGGATCCCAAACAGATTGAATTGCTCATGGGTGGAGGTGACGGCGAGGGCGGTATTTTCACCTGGCGAGAGAAGAACCGCCGCAAGGTGAGTTCTCCGCACGTTCATTTACTGTGCTGACTGTCTTGAAGCTGGCCTATTCTGTGTGCGTTCAATTTTCATTTCTGCTTGTCCATACTCACGGACGACAAGCTGTGGCACAAACTCGTACAGTGCGTGACGTGACGGCCTCTCTAACCCTTGTTACAATGTTAAATGTCTTCCAGTGTCTCCCGAGGTAATTCGAGGTCACGGTTATTCTTACTCCTGCGATTGGTGGAGTCTAGGTGTGATCATGTACGAATGCCTATACGGGTTTGTGTCTACGTTGCGCCATCCTGTCCCAAACTCATTTTTTTTTCTCTTTCCTTCCAGGTTCCCGCCATTTGTTAGCAACTCTGTATGTCTTTTCTGGGACGATTGCACGTTTCTCATCAACGCGCTCAGCGACACGTGACACGTCAGAAGATCCTCAATTGGAAACAATCTCTACGGTTTCCAGCCCAGCAAGCAGTGTCGCGGGACGGAGTCAATCTCATGCAGCAGCTTCTGTGCGAACCGGAAGATCGGATTGGCTCCCAGACATCAGTGTCAACCTCGAGACCTGACTCGATGGTGACCCAAGCCCGTCGGAGTGCCTTTGTAGTCCCAGGAAGCTCCCTTGACGGGGCCGAACTGATCAAGGTTTGTGGTACGGTTTTCCGCGATGAGAGTTGCTGAAGAATGCGTCAGGCTCATCCTTGGTTCCGGGGAATCGACTGGATTAACATCCACCGATACCCTGCACCGTACCATCCAGAACTGCGAGCACCGGAAGATACTCGTCACTTTGACCCGGATATTCCGCCCGAGGTCTGTTTCTGCAGATGCTTACGTAGGCTGATGGCTGATTATCGTGTAGCCACTTGCCCCGGCCAACGGGGCACCCCCTGATGTGACGCGGGATCCTCTGCTGCGACACGCAGTCCACGGAGCAGAGATCCTCGATGTGCGCAAGGCTCTGGCCTTTGCCGGATTTACACACAAGAGTCCCCGGGTCATCAGCAATGTGCGGGCCGACAAGATGTTCGAACCACAGCCCAATTCGTACGGCCAGACCCCGCACGAGCCATCGTATGGCCAGGGGACCGTCCGAGAACGCGGTCGCTCGGCTCTGCGCGAGCCCAAACAAGGCGGGCGCGCTATCTCCTTGTGATGACATATACCCAAACCAGTCTTATTTAATGCTAATCTTATCTCCTTTGTATACAAACTAGGTGCTACAGATAATAAATATGCGACATAAATAGGCCAATAAATACACGGCGACTGAATTAGAAGCGGCCGTCGTCAGACGAAACGCTCCCGCTGCGGTAACCAGAGCTCGACCCAGATGCGCTGCTCAGACGACGGTGGTGAGTCCATCTCGCGGAAGACATGCCCTCCTCGCTCGTGCCCTCCTCGCTCATGGGATTGGCGTGTCCTCTCGCATGTCTGCGCATGTTGCTCAAAACACTGAATCTCCGCGAGCAGCCCTCGACTGGACACACAAATGCTGCCAGTCTCGTCAGTCCCTCGAAACGCAGCCCGGAAATCACGTACGTTTCTCTCCGGTGTGGCTGTTGATATGAATCTGCGCGACCCTCAGCCAGGTTTGAAACAAACACAGGGACACACGCTTACCTTGAGGCTGCTGGGGCGAGTGAAGCCTTTGCCACAGTAGTTGCACTCAAACTTGGACGGTGAGTGCTCTCGCGGTGTGTGCTGCTGCTGGTATCGGGCTATTGGGGTCCGATCTTCGTCGTCGTGTCGAGGTGCGCTGCCGCGCATCGCAGTGGAAATGGGAGGCATGGACCCGTAGTAGGGTTGTGGGCCAGTAGGGTACCCGGGATAATCATAGTGCGGTGGCGTTGGCTGCACTGTGGGTCGTGGTCGTGACTGCGGCTGCTGTTGTTGCTGCCTGTACGGGTCTGACCGTGACGGCGGCTGTCGACATTGGAATCAGGGCATGGACTCGGGCATAGCAGCTGGTTCGAGGCGGCTCACCCTTGAGCGCGAGTGGCAGTGGCTCAGATCCTCATCGTCGCTCAGCCGCAGTCGGGCTAGGGTCACCGCAGGAGATTCTGGGGGAGTGTTCGAGGCTGCAAGCTCTGTGATAGCGTTTCAGCGCGATGCCCGACGGCGACGAGCAAACCCACCTCGGAAGAGATCGCGGATAGGTGGAAGGACCGGACGGTCGGAAAATCGGCTGCGCGCACTGCTGCTGCTGCGAGAAGAGGATGCCATCGAGGCAGGTATCAGATCACTGCAAATGCTCAGTCGATACCGTTTTTAAGGGCATCGATCAGGGTAGACTCTCGGGTAATTGCAGATTTATGTGGGTGTCGAGATGTCAACGTTGTCTCCAGGACAGATGGGCGGTGCAGCGCGGCAGACATCAAGAAAGTTGCAGGGCTTTGGCAACGGGCAATGTAGCGAACATCCGCATTCGCAGATCGCGGACATGGATTGACACAGAGAGTTGGTTTCCAATCAAGACAGCTTACGTGCTGAATGCCTGTGTAAGTCACCCGGAAAGCACAATCAATTGACCCTGCGTATCAGCTGGTACTTGATCCGCTACTCTCCTCCTCTGTCTTTGTCTGCAGTGATAACGAATGCAGACCGGCCTCCAACTCCGACTTTAGCACCGAGTAGATCAAGCGATGTCGTTGCATGGTGGTCTACGGGATGAGAATCACGCAAATCATAACGGTAGAAACAGATCATCACCTTCGACTCAAAGGCGTTTGAAACAATTTGGACCGAGAAATCTGCGCGCCATCAGAACGGGGACATGACGTGTTGCATTGCAACAAAGGAGAGCACGGACGGGTTTCACCAGACGCGGCGGAGGCTGGGTCAGCTCGCATGGGCGCGTGATGGCGGTGTTTCGACGAATCGTTGATGATGGTCAGTCGGATAGGATTGAACTGCGCTATCAGCTACGCTGCACGTCAGAGCGGGCTCCCAGCCATAGCCGTCCAGTCGAATCTCTTGCCTTGTCACGAATAGCCGACTCAATAGGCCCAGGCTCCGACATGATTCCGCGCGCTGTGCTTGCAAATGTTCTACCGAGGATACGACGATGGGCAATAGGTGTTAGAACGGCAGTGGCTTTCCGCATCTCACAGTAAGGAGATCTGGTTGAGGATCACTACGCTTGACTAGAGCAATGATCGCCTGCGGTTGTCTTGCCAAGCATGTGGATCAGCTCAATGTCGTGTAGCCAGCATGAAGCACAAGTACCTTGAAACAGGAGCGGCTTTTGTTAGTTGGCTTCAAGCGAAACCCCGTCCGTGCGCGACCCGTGCAATGCCAATGAAGCAAGGATGCGGTCGCAGTCAAGGCCTGTCAATGCCACTCCTTGACGAGCAAATTCTGCTGACGTAGCGACGAATCACGGATCATCTACTCCGATCTCCCCATCAAACGCGTGACCGTCACTCACAACGCGTACCTGCCAATACCACCCACTATGGTCGCTGGACAACACGCCGAATCGGATCTTCGAAAACGTGTCGAATCAGAGATGCCACGGCACCAACAAAACCTTGTGGATACGTGTCTCGAAGAGGGTCAATACCAATCAGCTATCCATGTTCTCAATGAATTACGATCCCCGTTTCACCGACCCTCCGCGTGTGTATGCGCTCGTGACTCTGACCTATGGGCTCACGTCGCGTAGATCACACATTCGGCAACTGCTTTACATGGCGTTGTATACCTCACTTGACAACCTCAACACAAACTCCTCAGCATCACCCAGCAAGAGGCAGAAGAAAGCGCATCTCTTGCCAACACCTGATGCTACCGCGGCGGCTCAGGAACTGCTTGTCTCATTCGCCATGACGAACTCCCCACATTCTGTCATGCGAGCATTGCGTCCCGCTGATCAGCGCGAATCGCTCAATGCGGACGAAGCCGACTGCTTCGTTGCCGCTCAGTCCTTGTGCATCAGTCGTTCCAAGCACTGCTGGGAGATACTTTCTCGGGGATTCCTCGCCGATCAGCGCGTTTCGGAAGCTCTGACGCGGAGAGGGAGATCTCGGGCCACTAGTGGATCAACCGGGGACTCGTTGCGATCCGAGGTTGTGGGAGAAAATGCGTGGCCTGTTCTCCATTGGCTATTGATTATATTCAAGCGTGATGAAGAAGAGAATGAACTGCGACGTAAGAGTGCACTGTTCCAGACAATCTTTGGTTGGCTGATCGGAACATAGCCCGACATTCTATACTTCTTCTTGAACAGCTAGGGACGCCAACCCGTAGAGACACTGATGCTGTTCTCGATGTCATGCTGTTCTGTCTAGAGCAGTCCGACAATGCCCGCTGTATGATGGGCTTGGAGTTGATGAGTTTGGTAGAAACTCGTCCGCTGCCTGAATTCCACTGACGGACCACAGCTGATTAATCTGTCGGCGACCAGCCATCTGGACTTCCCGCTGCTTGTTGCAGGGATATTCAATCGTCTATCGGGCACTTTCTCAGTCGAACAAATCAGTTCTATTTTGAGCGGACTTGCGTCGTCGCCGGCTGTTAACAAGTTCAAGGTCGCGTTTTACCAAAAGTATCTCGACGACAGTGCCGTCCATGCGAGACCTGTCGCCCGGCCTCGGCCCCTGGCACGGGCGAATGGCAAGGCGCCACCAGTCACAGCGCAGGAACCCGCCACTCCCGCAGTTGCCTCGCTGGCGAACAAATTCCGGGGGCCTCCTGCCTCTGACATCATGCGGCTGATGCAGACATCGACCTCGTCGCCTGGTGTCTCTCCGCTCAGAATCAAGTTTGAGATGCTGCAGTCTTACCACGCATGGCAAACACAGCTTCCGCAGGTGGATCGGGATGCTGAATGGGCCGTCTTGCTTGAGAACGGCCGCGTGTCAGAGACGCTAGATGCTGTGTTTGGCAGCAGCGGACAAGCTACTGGAGAAGGCGGAGACTACCGAGATCTGTTGGACATTATATTAAAAGGATACTCATGATTGTCTTCTTGCGCGACCCGAGCGTTTTCTGCCAATTGAGTTGCAAGGCAATCCCCGGACGGCTGCCTGTAGGTGCCCTGTTACGTCTCAATCCTCGAGGTTGGCGGAAGAAGCAGCAGTCTCTCAATCGCGAGGGCTGCATAAACTTTTAGAGTTGAGACTCAGCCCTGGGATCGGCTCCCGACAGAAGTTCACGTGCGCCGCCCGACCCAGATCGCGCCATCGTCGGTGTTTCAGCTCTGACATGCCCTGGGAGGACTGTCGAGGCTGGTTGCTGCTGCAGCTGTCGTCCTGGAACTTCGTCATGCAATTTCCCCGGTTGCGGAGACTGCCGTCGCCGAGCCTTGGGTGATCTTGGACCTTGGTGCTCCATCGGGCTCGTCCTTGTCCCAGTTTGGCATCATTCGATGGCTTGTCCAGCGAGGCGGAATATCCTCCGAGACGATATCATAGTTGATTTTGTCAGATGCTGTGCAGCACCATCTTCTTTGACCGTCAATTGTACCTTGACTTGACCCGGCTTCTGTGGATGTGCGACGGCTGAAGGACGCGTGGAATGTGTGTCAGGCGAGGGGATCTCGATGGTGCACACTCGCACGCCCACAAGTGCTGCAGGGCCCAGTCCCATTCGGAGGAGACTTGTTCGCGCTCGCGAAAGCTCGCCTGCGCGCCTGATCGGCATGCCTCATAAGCGCTGACAAGCCGTTGTGCGGTGACAGGCAGCCTGTCACGGTCTTTCGCCTGGTGCCCAAGGCTAGCGCAGATTCGGTCTAAATGCCGGTGTCTTTATCAAGATGCTCATCAGCTCTCCCAGGAACGCTGATGTCTGCGCTTTCTGGTCTAACTTAGGCTTTCAATGGAATTGGCAGCGCGTCATGTTGCTTTCGAACACGCCTTCCGATTTGGTCCAGGAGAGATCGGCTTATAAGGCGCGGGGCCCACACTCCCAGTCCAGCCCAAGCCAACCATGTCGGACCGCCGCCGAATGTCCATCCAACACAACCCATATCCCGCCGAGCAATGGAGCCCCAACGCGGTCGAGTACTCTGACTACTCATCCGCCCATCCCGCAGCGTATCCCTCGGGCGCCCAATCACAGCAGTATGCGCCGGATGCATACTATCAGTCGCCGCCGGCGCCCTCCCAATCACACATGTACGCGTCGGGGAGCGGGTCAAGTCGATCGGGCTACCCCCACAACGCTTCCTATCCATATCCACAAGCGCCCCATTCCATCGCGCAGCCCTATTCGCAATCGTACCCCGAACCGGCATCGCCTTCGCGCCCACGATCGCATTCCTCTAGCTACATGACTCAACACGCGCCTCCGGTATCCCCACATTCCCAGTACCCACAGCAAATCCCCCTCGCGCAGGTAACGGGATATGCAGACTATTCGGCGACGTCTGCCCGCCCATACGCGTGCGACATGTGCGCTTTGTCGTTCAACCGCCAGCACGATCTCAAGCGACATCGGGAGACACATACGGGCGAAAAGCCGTTTTTGTGCAATGGAGGGTGTGGAAAGACATTCACGCGCAAAGACGCGTTGAAACGGCATCAGGTCCGTCGCTCTCGTGTACTCAGTAACAGCCAACATTGAATTTCAGCGCAGTTGGTCAAAGGCTGTGGCAAACCGGATGACTCGTGGTCATAGAGCGAAAAGTACATCTATAGTTGTTGTTGTCTACAGTCGTACAGATCAAGCGGGCAAATAATCTTCAATCGATCCAATGACACACCTTCCTATGGCGCCTCCTTCTCTGTTAATCGCTTCTCCAAGATCCATGCATCGTGGGGTTCAAGTTTCTTGTAATAGTTGGCAAAGATCCCCGTCTCTACGAAACCGTGTCTTTCGTAGAACTTCTTGGCGTCCGCGTTCGAGACTTGGACGTGCAGATAAATACGGTCGATTTTGGGTTTGGTGTGGATCGATGCAGCATCTAAGATGCTTTGCAGGCTAGTTGATCCCAATTGTCTCGACCGGTACGGCTGCCCTCAACGCATTTAGATAGCATAGAAAGATCAAATCACGCGGCGCACGGCAAGTATACCCATGGTCATCAGATATAACGAGACCTCTCGATCCTGGGTTTCCAACCGACAGCAAACGGTTCCCACTGTCGTAGTTCTGACCCGAGCCGCTAGTCGTTGGGGGATGTCCACGGACCTGGTATATCATTGTAATACACTGAGGACAGATTCAGTGTCCGGCAGATCTCAGTTCAGCGAAGGACGAGACCGAGTTTGCAGAATTCCTCGACCTCGGGCGTCAGAACTTCTTGATAAAATTTTTCGCTGTAACGGATCGGAAACAGCACAGAGTTTAGTTTTCGGACCGTGCCAAGGTTGTTTGGCGTGAGCGGCGCGAAGGAGATCGATGGCGGCATAGGAGTGGAAATGGTTCTGAGAAGAGCACGACTGGTCACACACGTCACGCGTTTCGCAACTTGGTGTCTCACACCCATCGTCTCGCTGTTCTCGAGCCTCAGAACTCTCCCTTGTTAACTCCTCTTGGAAGCTGCACTGCTGCTCTAGCTCACGGCTTTACCTGCCTTGTACAGACTAGCCTTGCTTCTGCTTCGACGGATGTTGCCGACATCTTGTGACGTCGGTGCCAATACTCTGCGGTCTACTTGTCGGTATCAATGGGACAGAAAGATAGTTGTTATGCTGTATCGTATACTATACGAAGCAGTCTCACGTCTGCTCCTAAGGCATCGGGCCTACCGGAGCAAGGGATCGTTACTCGCTGCCATTCTACTTCTTTGGTCTACGAAGTCCATCGTCGCGAGCTGCCATAAGGTCGTCGCTACCCAATAACGTCTGAGGTTGATTCTGGGACCTGGACAGACGCTATCGGCCCCCGTTCCGCTTGAACCTCGGCCGCAGCTGCCCGCACTACTCGCTGCATAGAATCCAAGGCGGTCTAGGCGGTGTGTCGATCTTTGCAGTTAAAGGCTAACAGGCTACAGACGTCACTTCCCGGAAATCGGTACCTGAGCGAGCCGCTGATTTTGTGTGCTATATATCAATTCTCTTCACCTTTCATGGCATGGTCCATGCTGATATACATGTATGTAGGAGCGGGTAACCATCTTCCCTCGCCGAACAGACAGATCTTCGAGTGTTGACTCACCAGCTGCAAGAGAGACATCATGCTTGGTGTCAGGTGCCATCCATTGTCGATGTCAATCATCGCGATTTCCAGTCCTTCAGCTCCTCTGTGTAACAGGAAAATGAATTCCATCGGCCGTGCGGTCGTATGGGCAAGGTCCAGTTGATGTGGCCCTGACCCTGGCCTCGTCGGACTACGGCCAGAGTCTAGATCAGCCAGGTTAATTTCCATATATGGATTCCTGGTGTAACTAATCACCCAGCCGATGTCGCGCGCTGTGGCTGTGCCGTGTGCGGGCGCGGGTCCTCTGATTGATTTCCAGAGTGGTGTGCTCAAGGCAGAATATATCATCTCAGTTGATTTGCAGAACTTCTCGGAGTTTATATGACGAAGGATGATCTTTTCCCGACATGGTGCATCGGACATAGATGCGAATACAGTTGGATGTGATTAGTGAGATGCAGTACAACAGAGGACAGACGAGTTTTTGGACAGACGAAAGCGCGAGAGCAATATGAAATCAAGTCGAGAGCAGTAAGAAATGCACCGCAGGGTCCTGCAGGATTAGGGAACTGCGATGGGCGAGGACCCGCTCCGGGTCCGACGCGTTCGCTGTTTGCGTGGTGATCGCTGCAGATCCTCGAGGTAGACATCGTCATATGTCCGGAAGACACATTCCCCGGTAGAATCATCGTGGTCCTGCAGGGTCGCCCACACGCAGTGCCAGCCGCCCACTCGAACGTCAGGAGCATCGCTGTCTGGGCCGGGCTGCAGAGCGGATGCAAACTTGAAGGCAAGACCCAGATGGCGCTGGTCCCACTGAGCAGAGGAGTGCAGAGCAAACGCCTTGTCCGACAACGTGATGAAGGCACAGTCTTTCACCGTCAGATCAAGGCTATCGGACTCTCGAGTGTTCAGCAGTTCATTGAGCAGCGAGTCCATTTCGAGTGTCTTGGGGACGCCTGGATGCGAGGGATTGTATGCTTCAACCAGAATCTGAGCCCGGGTCCCATCGACGAAGTAGAGAGTGAGGGCTGGGTGCTTTGGCGACCGTCGAACAGATTTGAGCACTTTCCCAACGATGCTCGACGGATTCATGCTGTGCCCACCGTTAGCCTGGCTCCATGTCAGGGTCGGCAAACAGACCCCAGATGGTCAAGACGCAGAGGCTCGGGTTTCTTTCGCTGCGGCGGTGCTGCGGCGGCACTATGGCCCGGCCCGTCAGCGAACGTGTTTGGCGCGCCGCCCATGGATGCCATGGTCGCAACTGGTCGGGTTTCAATCAGTGTCAACAACTGTCAAGGGAGATCTTTGATGTGCTGTCAACCGGGTCTTTGTTCATTTCAGGCTTGAGCTCCGTTACTGACATAAACCCTCGCTACGCGCCGTTTACCGCAGCGTCCGCCCCATTTCCCCACCGGTTACCCACAATCGGCGGTCCCATCCATTCCTTTGACTTGAACAAAATCGGAGCATTGCCCACGACCCATTGATAAGGATTGAAACACTGCGCAGGCAGGTGGCAAAAGAAAATCTCCATAGAAGCTCCCGGCTTGAGCTTTAGCGCTCAGCACGTGTCCATCACAAGTCCCGGCGACGACGACATTACATAGAGGTCCGTTACGTTGACCAGACCCAATTGTCTTGTCCTTGTCCTTCGTCGCTCTTTGATTGCCCTCACCCGACATGCATTCGTCGGTTCAGCGACCGATGGGGCCTAGAGCCATCTCATCCCCATCTCCCCAAATCGCTTCGACCGCACCCCTCAATATTCGCAAGCCCCAGCGGCCGAGCCTAGCCCTTCCTACACCGCCCTCCGCGAGGACGCCCACGCCCAACCTCAGTTTGTCCATCCCCCACGTCGCCTCTCGGCCTACCACGCCCAAACTCGGCTTGAACATCCCACCGCGGATAAACACCCAATCGAGGCATGGAGATGGCGACGATTCGCCCCAGAGCATGTACTACGGCGGACCGCCCCTCTCACTACCCGCGATGCAATCTCCCCATGCCGATTTGACGATACGGCCAGATTCCGGTGCGACCGCCATACCGCCAGTGACGAAGCACGAGCCTTTGGACAGTCTTAAATCCATTCTCGACAGCCTTCCCCAACAAGGCACCCAATCACACCCTCCCAGTGACAGCGAGGAGAACATCCCCGCTCTGCCGAGTGCGGCCAATCTGCCTTGGACCGATGGCGTTCTGGAGGAACTTTCGCGTCTCGGCGAAGGAGCCGGCGGCGCTGTTCACAAGGTGAAAGACAAGCGTACCGGACGTCTCATGGCCCGGAAGACAATTACCACGAGGGAGGCGCCGATGAAGCAGCTGCTACGGGAGTTATCCATCATCTCCTCCACAGAGCACATCAATATTATCCGTTTCCATGGGGCTTATATGTCGCCCTCCTCCAGTGAGGTCAAGATCCTGATGGACTTCTGTGAAGGTGGATCACTCGAGGCTGTTGGCCGCCAAATCAAGGAGCGTAACGGGATCGTTGGCGAGAAGATTGCGGGGCGTTTGGCAGAAGGGGTTCGTCCTTGAAAACGGCCTTCCTCCGAGAGAATTAACGATGGTCCAGATTCTGCAAGGCCTTGCGTATCTTCACAGCAAGAAGACTATCCATCGAGACATCAAACCCTCGAACATCCTTCTCTCCCGTCAAGGCATTGTCAAGTTGTGCGACTTCGGCGTGTCGGGTGAATTGATTGAATCCATGGCGGGAACTTTCACGGGCACGAGCTTCTATATGGCTGTGAGGTTCTTGCTCTCTCCGTCGTTCTCTGTCTGATAACTGTGTAGCCGGAACGAATCTCCGGCCAAGAATACGGAATTCGATCAGATGTCTGGTCGACGGGGATTTCATTGTTGGAACTTGCCCAGAATCGCTTCCCCTTCCCTCCGGATCTGCCACCTATTGAACTGATGATGTACATCACTGCCGGCGAGGTATGCACGAAATGGATTCGTTTGAGATCCCAGGGGCATTAACTTGTTCGGACTGCAGCCTCCTCGACTGGAAGACGAACCCGGGCTGGAGTGGAGTGATGAGATGAAGGATTTCATTAAACAGACGCAAGTGGTGCACTGTGAATGCAGAATCGTGCTGACCCTTTTCTCAGGTTGACAGTCGATTCGCTCGCCCGTCCAACGCCGAAGGATCTGCTTTCTCATCCATGGATTGTTTCCGTGATGAAACAGGAGACTGACATGGCGCGGTGGATTCGTCGTGTCTGGGGCTGGCCGAAGACTCGCCGGAGATCGAGAGAACGGGACGGGCAAGCGGTTCTTATGTCATGTGTTCCATCGTTTGCTGATCGTGGACTAGAGCCCGCCAAGACTCTCTTGCGAGCACTGGATCCAGCGCCGCGCCTTCGACGGACTGAAAGTCGTTGGCAGGACGACTGGTCGATGAAGACAAGCCATTTCGCCGGTCAGGATGTTATATGTACGTATCGGACAGTGCTTTCCGTGCCTTCCAATCTCTATGTACCATTTGCTTTCTCCTCTTTCCATGCTGTTGATCTTTGACCGTTGATAAAGTATCAGTCGTTGTAAGGTCGACGACAAAGGACATGGTCTGTTTTAGGAAAGGATGATCGTGATGCAGAGTCGGGGTCTCAGTGTCACATTGTTACGGTGTCATAGTCATGTCATCACGTCTGCATAACATGACCGTGCTGTCACGTGTTCCAGTAGACACGACGCGTTCCCTGATTCGGGATGCGCACGGACGCGTTCTAACTGATAATATTGGCTCGATACTGGTGGATGTGCGTGGAAAATATCAAAATAAAAGAGTAAATCGAAAGAGGAAGAAGTGGAAGAGGGGAGGAAATCGGAACAGTTTGCCCCGATCACAGTCGATGTCGGAAGCGTCGGTGTTTGGATGCCGGCGGCACAGCAACCACGTGTTAGCAAAAAAAAAAAAAGTGCTGTGATCTGTTCCTCGAGCTCAGAGGCCACTAACACTTGTTCCATTTGTCACAATAACTCCTTACATAGAATGGCACTAGAAAAATTACATGATTTTCCGTCTGGCAGGAGGCTCATCACAAGTGCCTTATGTTATCTAGCGGAGTTTGAAGCTACCTCGCGGATCAGAAGCACCAAATTAGAGGACATAGTCTGCAATATAATTGCCCTGCCGAATCTCTGATTTCAGCCGTTTTTTCGCATATCGGTCCGTCAGAACTGACCATAAATGAAATATTTTTGGGACATCGACAGCAGATTGGCCCGGTCGTACCTCCACTTGCACCTCCTCCGAGGCCAGGAGCTATATACTGAGTTCATATTTCAAGACAAGGACAGGGGATTTCCCCTGAAAGCGGCGCAAGCCGAAGGGCTCGAGCGCGCCGCCATCAACGACGAGCACGCTTATGACGTCGGGAACGGTCATCAGAGACTTCCAATAAGCATATACACGTCCTCGAGTCACGGAGTGCCAGGACCCCAGCACACCCGATCGATCTATCAGTCGAAACAGACCATGTCCTTTGTCGTCGACCTTAGTCGTTGTGTCTCGTTCTCGCGCTGATTGCATCCAGGATGGTTGCTGGTATATTTTTTTTGCGTGAATTTCGTTCCTTGGATCAGAATCACAGTGTGCAGGTGACTTGACACATGTTGTATGATTACTATGGTCCCTGAGGATTACTGATCCCTGGCTCCGTGACACCCATCCGCGGAGACAAGGATAAGAAAACGCGGAAACCGCACCGCAAAAGATGCAACGAAAAAGAAGCTGGAAGCGCAGAGCTCGTTCCGATAGTGATTGTAATGCATCAGCCGCGTAGGCCGCTCGGCCGGGGTGCTAGACACGTGTCTGGCGAATCTTCCGGTCTGAGGGAATCTTTCAATAGCACTGGCGCTCGCTAGCGGCTCGCCAGCTTTAGCGAAGCCATAAAGGAACTTCACCGCCACATGTCTGAAAATCTGTTACGCGAGTCGGAACGGGACGAATCAAGGCCTCGCGAAGCGACATGGGGGGCGATTTGCCTCCGCTGCAACCCCGTCTGCGCTGCCATCGGTGGCGTCATCCCTTCGCCACCAGTCTGTGTCCCTGATAATCTTATTCGATGTTTTATGCACCGTGCAGCTCCAGAACCGTTCTTTCTGCGCGAGAAGTAGGCCATCAGTCACGTACAGTGGGGTGTGATTTGCAGGATCTCCATTTATTCTCCATTACTTTCACGCGGTTAGAACGAGTGGGCGGCATATTTTGTTGCGGAGCTCCGGAGGGTTTCTCAGGCTTGTCTGCCAGCTGATGATCTTACTTTGCTTCCGGTTTTGTATACTTGGTCGTGCATACATTCTGCCGAACTGAGTTTGCGAGTCGACGCTAGAGGATGCCGCGCTGGTTGCAGCTCCCCATCGCATGCCGGCCGTGGCCTAGAGAGAGGACGACTGCGCATTGGAGTCGTGTCTCCCAAACGTTGATCTGCGTTGGCTGACTTCTTTTGATGGACACTGTGTCGCCGCCAGTAAGGATCAAGTTACAAAAGTTACAAGAGACACGGGGCTGTCATCTCACCCTACAGAGCGTAGTGTTGTTCCTCGGAATGGATCAGGGAGGGTTGCCATAATTCCGCCGGTGCTGATGCAGTGCCCTGCCTCGCTGCTGCTGGCCAGGGCTCGAAATTGAGCGAAGAACGTAACAGATGTTGGGCAAGTGGGATTCTGTGAAGGCTTATGTAAACCAATAAGGGCGCGTTGATGGGCTAGCCGAGAGCTAGGCGAAAACACGCGACTATGGGTCCTCCTTGGTCCACTTTTAGCAGTGCTTCTCGGGCCCGGAGCCGGTCCATCTGACGGCCGACCTTGTTCTTCGATGTCTGCATGTGCTTCGAGTGCAATGTGGCTTATTAGGTGATCATCCCCGTATGTCACGATCTGCCAGCCTTCACGGTTCGACCCTCATGCCAATCGCACACCACCGTCTGTCTCGACCAGAACCATACCACTCGTGCAATATGTTTTGTTTCAGGATTTCCCCCAGGCTTCTGATATGTGACATTTTGATGCGCCATATCACATCGCGTATCAAATCTTGATCGAATAGTCCCCAATAGGCCATGCTCATAATAAACGACTCTCCACGAGTTCGATATCTCTGTCCAGACTCCGACAATTTCTATCAGCCCCGTATCATTTTTCACCACGCCTTCCAAGTCCTTCTTGCCCACCACCCCCAGGCTCTGCTGTAATCCTTCGACAACTGGGAGCCAACGTTTTCTGTGCTTCCACGACCCTAGATCCATCTGATCACAATCCCGATTCTCTACATCATTCGGCCTTTATTCTTCTCAATCATTTAAATAACTGCCCACAAAACATAGTCATGAACCATCTCGATACCCCCGCTCTAACCTCCATGACCGACAGCATGGCATAGTATGTCGTCGGCTACCTCATCCGTCAGCGCGCTAACATCGGATGGGTTAGCTCCTCCGGCAATTATATGGCTCACAGCGCGTATTACTCGTCCCCCCCAATGCACCACAGTGGCCATCACGAGGTCGACCCACAGCCGCGACAAGAGCAGCCCGCGCGCAAACGACCAAAGTACACACGCAGCAAAACGGGCTGCTTGACGTGCCGGGTGAAGAAAATCAAGGTCTTGCCACCGCCAGCCACTGCCGCACGCGTTTGACACGGTTTTCAGTGCGATGAGGCCAAGCCAAACTGTATGCGATGCAGCCATGGACAACGAGATGTGCGTGGGCTATCCCCCCTCCTTTTCGACGCTGCTCACTGCCCGCGCTCCAGTGCACATGGCCCGAGGGCGTTCCTGCGCGGAAACGGGCTTCGTCCGTCAAGGACTCGCCCGAGATTGGCCGCCCATCAACGGCGTCGTCACCCGGGATCTCCGACAGCTCGTCGCCATCCTCGACCCGTGGCCACACACCGCCCCAACGCAGTCCGGTGGAATTAAGTCTGCCGCGTGAACTAAACCTCCCCCCGCTACTGAACTCTCGGCGGCCGTGAGTTCTGTGTGTCATCTCGCTGTTCCCGGGACTCATGGGCTGGCAGAGAACATAGCTACCTTCCTCCGATGAATTCCGGCGACATGGACCGACGTGAATAGTGGGTGTCTCCTTGTGATGTTCCTTCCCGGGTGCTAATCATTCATCCAGCTCGCGCGAACGTGCCCGGTACTCGCCGCCGCAGGACTCGCCGCTGTCTGTGTCCCATGTGGCTGAAATCCCGACATACCCGAGTCGGTACGACCCCTACTCGACGCACCAACATGTTGCTCCCTCACGGCATCTGACCGCTTCGAGCGTGCGAAGTACGATGGGGCATCCTTCTGTGCAGCAGCACTGGAGTCCTCCGCCGATTCTGTCGCCAGAACCATATGTGCGCAGTGCTTCTGAATTGTGTGTTGTTCTCCGCAGCTGACCACGTGCCAGTATCACCACCACGAGCGCCAACTTGTACACTCTTCCGGCGACCAGCTTCCCCGATACCACTGAGCCTAATGTTCTCTGCTATCTCTAAGTTACATCCTACTACATAAAAGCATGGTCTATGCTCATGCAGTCGCTACATTATTTGCTTTCGTTACAGCTTATTCACAATCGCATTATCTTTCTGTGCCTTGCGCCGTTGTCTTGGCAGACATGAAACCTGTCATCCGAATTTCACCTCGGAAACATTTTTTGGGGAATTTTGGGCGTGATAAGACACGCCGCCCGATCATGTGAACCAACCATCACTTCTTTGGCAGCGTGGGAACGAATGACGTGGCGCTTCGAAATGTTATTCTTATTCGTGGCTCTGCTTCTTTCGGCTCGAATGGCCCGAACCCAGGCGTCATCTCCTACACCGAGACAGCATGCCTCCCTCGTCGAACCAGACCGCGCGCAAAACGCGTGCATGACTGCACCCGGATGTGAAACACTCCCGCCCGGATCCGGCCTGCATTCAGTCGTGTTCTGCGCAGATGATCTCCTGTGCGGAGCCCTCATCACACGCGGATCGCTACGCAGGTGTGCACGGTGAGAATTCGAAGACGACCGCTCTCCACCGACGCGATGTCTACTCCTGCGTCACGACCAGCCGGTGCGCCGTTGCCGACTTGTTCGTTTCTGTAAACAGCGAGGCCGCCGTGGCTCAGAGTTCTGGAATCTGGAATCGGGGGGTCGAGGCGCGTTTGAGGGCGTGATCAAGAATCGAAACTTGCATGGGGCGCGCCATAGCTCAG